TAACACTATTTGAACATTGAGATAGGATTCTGATATTAACCTTTGTTCATAATTATATTATTTGTTGTGATTTCATTTAATTTTGCAAACCTTGATGATAAACTTGATTTAGTTGTTAGGCAAGTGAATAAAATTGTCAATAACAACTGAATGAGAGTTTAAAGCATTTCGTTAACTACTTATATCATTAGATATCAAATTCAAGTAGCTGAACAGAATTTCAATAACTTATAGACATGGAACAAAACGATACAATCAATACAAACAAGATTAAAAGTTATTTATATGCATATAAATAAGGGAAAATATTTACAGTATGTATAGCTTTGTTCCTTCATAAACTATTGTTTACTTATTGATTTATTGATTTTATTGTAAAACAATTAATGGTATGTCGTAAGTCACATGAAATTAAGCATATAGTGACATTTTGAGCCCATCAGTTCTGAATCGATAACACGAGTATATTTTAGACTACAACATATTGCTACTATTTTTCAAAGAGATCAATAATACTAATTTGTCTTTTTTATTTTTAGTGTGTGTATGGGTTGACAATAAAGAATGGGAAAACACACACTATAAATGAATCATAGATCATGAAATAGTAACTAGGGTGATATTTTACTATAAAGTACATATTTAGGCTTTTTTTCCAGCTAGACACTTTAACAAAGGAAACAAATAGAATACTTTTATTCATTAGTTTAAAATAAAATCCAACGTTATCAATTATCAGGACACCAGAGGTCAGTAAATAAATGACGAAAGCATTAAGTGAAATCAGTACACGTTTAAAATACTGAAGCGTACAAAAGTTGCATCAAGAGAAGTATGACTGGAAACCATCACTTTAAATCATATTACACAACCTGAGTGGTAAGAAATTAGGTGAGATTAATTTTCACATATTGATGATGCATTGACGATATTACACTCTAAATTCAAGAAGGTTAAATGTTAATTAAACTCAGATCTCTCAACTGTGTAACTGTTATATACCATAAAGCATAAAATTACATTATCTTATTTCAGTAGTCCTAATCATATGATCATTCTTGTTCTATTGTATTTATCAAACAACCAGGTATCGATAATGAAAGTTCTATTTTGCAGAAATACACAATGAAATGAAGTTACTATAAAATTGGTCAATTAGATGTGACATAGAATATATTGTCTGTCAATAGCCAATTATATTTTAGAGTGTCTGTATGTGCCAATTAGTAAATATCTGAGATATTTATAATTGAAACCTCATACAACAAAGTAAAGCACTTTTTATCAAGGTATATTCTAAGAAAAACTCTTTTTTTTAGGTTGAAAATTGTATAGACGTGAAGAAGAGATAGTATCAATTAACTTCTATTATTTATCACGATCCTTATAACCATACCTATGTAAAGTGGTTAAATCAACTTCACAAATTGGACTGGATTTATTAAACACATTGTATTTGTTGGGCACTTATTTTTATTAATGACAAACAATAAATATTGAATAAAATTCATTTAATTTAATCATTTTAATTGTTAAGAAAAGTTTAGGATAGACAATAATTTATGGACGAACTAGTGAAATTAAGAACAGCAAGTCTTGGATTTTGGTGCAAAATTTGGATATAAGCTTATGTCACTTCGTGATGAAAACTCAGACTTGAACTCCTAACCTTAACTTCTCATTCTAAATCCTAATCCTAATTCCTCATACTGGTTTGTAACCCTCTATTCACCCTGTGAGTTATCTCAAGGTCACTTTGGCGTTACTCGAAGGTCGTCCACAAATTAGTCTCACTGAATTTTCAGGTTAAAATGTTTCTTGATTTGTGAATAACCAAAGAAGAACCAGTTAATAGTTCACACCTAGCTTATTTAGTGATATCAACCTGATAGTATATTAACTTCCACAACTTGGTCCTATTAAAGCAAACCTGGTAAACTATTCTAACCAATATTTCAAGGTATAGACTTCTTTTTAGGTTAACCTTTAACCTGTGAATCGAGTTCTGATGGAAATCAAATGATTAAATAGCTATTAATGTCTTTTTTCTATGTCACATAAAAATTAAACATGATGGTTATTTATTAGCTTTATCGCCACTTTAGTATTATTTAAATAGATAGAGAAAGTATTATTCTGGGTAGTGGTCATATCTTTTGTATCAGTTTATTCGTCGGTTTGAGTTAATAATCCGGTCTTATTGAGTAACTATCATTCAACCACGTCATTTTATTGCATATTATCGAAGTTAACAATCTACAATTATTTATTGATTCTAAATGTGATTTCCTTTTAGTTAATATTTGAGTAGTGCGAACTTTGTTCATTTGATTTTCAATACAATACTATATGATTAAATTTTGTGATTCCACATTAAAGAGAAAATTATTCAGTTGATAATTCCTATAACTAATAATTACCGAATTTTGTCGATATGTGACCAAATGAACTTGAATATAATTGGATTTCTTTCAGGTCATTTGTCAAATAGATCTTTTTTGAACGATTACTTTTGGAGTAGGTAGGGCTTGGAGTGAAGCAAGTGGTTATATCTTAGTTCAAAGTGTCAATAATGTAGTCGCATTTACTGTGAGCCATGTCAGTGAGATCAACGCATATTCTTTTGTAACTTTTTCAGATGGTTGAATATGATGATGAAAACTTGTAATTCAGTTGCATGTTCATAGCAGTGGCCAAGATGATCCAAATTCAAAACCTTTATTGGCATTTTAAACTAGCTACGAGAAATGACCACAAGATAATCAAGAACCTCCTGATTTAATGAATGACAAGAATAAAGTAAGTTGGCTTGACCATAACCAATTCGGAAGCGTGAACCGACTCCAACTATTGGATGTGAAAATCCTGTAAGACCTAACCAGGTGTTCCGCATACGGAAATATGGTTCAGATCAACAGTTAAGGAATTCAAAAACTGATGACTCCTCTAGAGTTCCAGAACCCATTCACACGTCAGCTAAGATCGAACGTCTAGGTTGCGTCTGCTCTGACACAAAACATCTCCTAACCAAACCAGTTGTTGAAGATCCACTACCTTATCAACGAACTTGTTATCTTTACTTATTACTCTGCGTCTAACCTCAGGACTTCTTAATAGATGGTCCGAAAATACGGGAGGAATGTTTCAACTACACATTTGGTCGAATACTGGTAACATACGAACACTCCATTTTTGAAGCGCACGCTTCACAGTCACAATGTGGAATAGGGTGGACTGTTAAGCAGTATATTTATACATTTGTAAGGCAGACAAACATCTCACTCAGGACACAGGTTGCCAAAAGCCAAGATTCTCCCAAACACAAGCTCCACCCCTCTGGGGCTACTGCCGGTCCCGAGTCCGGATAAAGGAGGAGGGTTGGACAGGGGTTAACGACCCCATCCCGTAGAAAATTAACTCGCTGAGAAAACGCAAACCAGGAAAAATATTTCAAACCGATTAAGCTCTGCCCTGGGAGTTAAAAGGTCTTCGTTTAGAAGAGTAATGACGTCTCATGATGAAAGCTGAGTTCTTTCAGGAATCACGAGGCTGATGCTCCTTCTGACAACCACAGCAACCATCAGTTTAGGCACATGTAATGTTCGTACAATGTAGGAGACAGGGAGAGTCACCCAAGTTGCTACAGAAATGAAAGATACAGCATGGAAGTGCTTAGAATCAGTGAAACACATTAGACGTAGATTGGACAACAAAGTCCAGCTTCAGCAGAGCTGCTGTTCTACTTCTACCATGTAGAAAAAATGCTCCACATACACAGCGAGTTGCATCGATGCTATCCAAACAGGTACAAAATGCACTTATAGGACGGGAATCTCATGGACCCAGGATCATCAAAGCCTCCTTCAAAACAAAGAAAGAGGGCATTAAAATGAACGTCATTCAGTGCTATACAATGAAGACAATAAAGTTTAATTCGACGATAAGCTGCACTCAATCTCTGAAAAATGCCCAACAAAAGACTCGACTATTCTGATGGAATACCTTAAACGCCAAGGTTGGGATGGACAACACCGTACATGAAGATGTCATGGGACGATATGGGCTGGGAGAAAGAAACGGTGCAGGGGTGAAGGTGTGAATCGCCAAAGCAAGAGCAGCACATCTACAACTGATGGACATCCGGAACTCAAAACAACTGTCAAACAACACCAAAGTCAGAATTTTCAATACAGATGTCAAGACAGTTCCACTAGTTGGGGCGGAAACTTGGAGAACTACAAAAGCCATCATCCAGAAGATACAAGTGTTTATTAACAACTGTCTACGCAAAATACTTCGGATCCCCTGGCCAGATTCCATCAGCAACAATCCAGATTCCGGTGGAGGAAGGAAAATGGAGAAGCAGTGGAAGTGATTAGGACACATATTGAGGAAAACACACAACTGCGTCACAAAACAAGCCCTCACATGGAATCCTCAAGGTCAAAGGAGAAGAGGAAAACCAGAGAACACATTACACTGACAAATGGAGACAGACATGGGAAAAATGAAAAACAATTGGATAGAATTAGAATGGAAGGCCCATGACAGAGTGGGTTGGAGAATGCTGGTCGGTGGTCTATGCTGCATTGGGAGTCACAGGTGTAAGTAAGCAAACTAAGTGGCCAGACCCGAAACGAAGAAGTTCACGTGACTAGAAATTCTACAACATGAATTCTTAAACTGAAAATTTCATTTCTTTTAAATATACACTAAAGCTTTTGAAATAATTATTACTTTTAGAGTAGCTACAATCAATTGAAGCACCAAGATCCCGAACTTCAAAAATCACCAATGGTTAGGATTAGAGGCTACCAGCTTGAATTTGATGTGACTCAGATTGTATTTTAATGTTCATCACTAATGTAAGAAAGCGGCTATATAAAATACTAAAAGCAAATCACTTGACGGCTGAACAATAGCTTTTTTACATGATCTACTTTTTACTCAGTAAGCCCACTTTACACGGTAATTCTGAATATATGAAAAACACTTCAACACACTAACTGCAACATGTAATTCAGTCCAAATTTTCCCGCAAAATATACTTAGATCAAATCAGAATGGTGAGCAGTTACAGTTCTGATTTCTTGCACTCGTGAAATTATTTATTCAGCTATAACTACTAATCTGACTGTTTGTAGTACTTGTAATTAAGTTTATTAATCGAATTACGTTAAACAGAAAAAAAATGTAGTAAAGAAATAACATTTAGAATTTCCACAGATCAACTTTAGTGAAGAGAAAAAAATGAACAAAGTAAACAAACAGGTTTAATGAATAAAATGAAAATGAAAATAAGTGTGTAAACACACAGACATACGAGTTTTTCTAATAAGCCAAAAATCATTTATCGTGATTTGACGTAGAAAAAACTATACTTTTAGAATGTTTCTTTTTTGTAATGTTTAGAATCAGTGTGTATGTAATTAACAATTAAATCAGATTAACATGAAGAGTGAGCATTCGATGATGCATTATTGATTTGGATATCATCCTTGTTAGTTGTTGTAAGTGCTGATATCACACTAGTTGTAGTACTAGTATTAGTATTAGTAGTAGTAGCAGAAGTAATAGTTGTATTGGTAGTAACAGCATCAGCTGTAGTTGTACTGACATTTCCGTTGGTGTTAGTACAGTAATAGGGTGGAGGAGCGTAGGCATTTGCCGGAATTTTCAAGATATCCTAAAAATTAGTGATGTAATATAAATAGGAAAATTGAATAAAGGCCACTTGCTATTTACGAAATGTATTAGAATACAAACACAATAAAACTAGGCTTTCTATAGCTTAGTTGGTTGGTGTTAATGATTAGTACGTCACTGATAGACAGAAGTTGGATATGAATAATCTCAGTGATCTAATTGCAAAGCACTTGCCGAGATATTTAGGTTATTATGTTATAGAAAGCTCAGTGGACACACTGATGGAAACCTTTAAACTGAAATGGAACAAACGTAAAATCTTTCGTTTATTCAATTACTCATATGACAACGTATGTGCATCACTTCAAAGTGATACACCATTTTAGCATAGCGAGATGCCAGAGTAGTATGTCTATGCTACTTATGTCGACAAAAGTAGTATATAAAACAAATCAAAAGTCGAAGCACTGGCAGCACAAGGTTGAGATCGAATCGAAGAGAACGGGGACATGATTTATCTTGACCATCAATACAAATATCGTCCTGCTTGACAAGTTGACTATATACGCTCTGAATAAATACTAGGAATAAAAAATAAATCCGAGAACGAAGTTCCTCAAGAGAAATCACTGAGATGAGGATCGTCCAAATTATCCAAATGGCATTTACTAACAAACTACGAAGCCTATTTCGGTTGTTCTGAACTCCTTAATCGTGGTCAGGGTGATAATCTTACCATATGTTACCAGACATCAAGTGAGACGAGTCGTAATAAATCTCAGTGGCGTACATATATTTGTTTCTTAATCTCCTCCCAAACATTTCATTTTAAACATGACCAAATTTTCATTTACAAAATTCATTTTTCTAAACAAGATATCCTCTTAATTCATTTAAATTGGTTGTTTAAATCTTACCATTTATGTTAGGGATTACAATCGGTCAGTCTCTTTTGACGTATATGCCCTCACATGGCCATTGTGCATACAGCCACTATTAGAGAAGTCCTACTCATTGCCTTCTCACGGCGAAGGTGTTGTTTATGAAATTGGGAGGACGAAAAAGTCAGTCAGCTACAACGTAGGACCAAGCACACAAATGCATCGGTCCAAGTTGCCGCACCTCATTGACAAAACAAGATGAACACCGAATTCATAGAAGCAATTACTTCAATGGTAGTAATATATAAAAGAAAGGTTGTGTGTAATAATACAGTAAAGGGCACGACCGTTGTTGCTACCTTGACGTGCTGGTCAGGCTTGCCTATCATGATGAACCAGTCGAGCTATACCGGCTGGAACAATCGTTCCTCAAGGTTCTACCATGCCAGACAAATCGGTTGGAAGGCGGTAAGACTAAAAGCAGCAAACCCAAGATCCGAGAGCGAAGTCGTACTGCTAACTGTACAGAGGTGTGATGGCAGTAAGGTGTTTCCTTCAGACAACCAGTATAACAGCGATGCTGCCTTCACACAAGGAGGGGTGGGATTAGAATAGGTCGACCACGAAAATGCACACCTCGCCTTATCCCACGGATATCCGTCTCCGCCGTTGAGGTCTCAACAATTACGGAGCTATCACGAAAATTACTCACAAAGACGTCGTGGTTGACCGACATTAAGCAAATGTCCCCTTTGACACTGCGGTCACGCTCTCTTGTCAATAAGACCACTTCTAATCCGATTTCCTTTTCAGGTACATCCAGAAGAACCCTTCAATGGTGTGAGTAACCGGGAAGTGATAACTGCCTTCATACCTCTAATAGCACTCAAGATCAAGGTATTCATAATGAATATCCCTAGTTAATTCCCATTATTCCTAATACGTCGGTTTCCAACTAGAAACTTTCTCTTTCGACTTAAGTGTCACCACGGTCGAAACATGCGCGGAAAACTGTTCCATGTCTACTGAAACTGACTGACCGATGAAGTACAAGAAGAAACAATTAGTTCGTAGAAAGAAAGATATCAAGCAATTTTAATCTCACAGTTGAACGGAAGACAGAGTTTATAAACCGACGACATTGTGATAGATTTTGAGCCATGCCACACAGTCTCCAATTATTGGTTTCGATAGTCATGCGGACCACAACCAAGTAGTCTGCATCTACCAACATGGCTCAGACTACAAGTTAGTGACTTCATTCACTGATCCCATGTTTTGGTTTGGCCGCCCCTAACCTTCCTCCAACCATCCCCAACACTAGGCATACGCCCCAACCATCTCAGTCGATGAAAACTCACAGCCTTATCAGCTGACTTACCATCATTCCATAGTACCCTATGTCTAACCTCACTATTAGTTACCCGATGATCCCAGAAGATGCGAGCGATATTTCTAAGAATTTGTAATAAAATACTAGTAAATTACAAGTATCATCTACTCTTATTGACCACTATTCGCAGCCGCAAATTAAAACAGAACGAACTGTCGCACAGTATACCCGCCCCTTAAGTGATAGACCGATATCTCGCCCTCACGATGGCTGACGTATTGGCAAAAGCCAAACGAGCTTTTTGAGTCCATGCAGAGATTTCGTCAGACACCAACACATCTGGGCAGATCAGACTTACAAGATAATTAAAGTCGTCGACGCATTCGACTACTTCATTCCCTATCCTTAGTTCATGTGATCATGCAGCTCAATCCTGAAGCAACAACGTGAATTTCAAAATAAGAAGAAACGCAACCCAAACATCCTGGCATTAGTGCTCAGTGCTAACAAAACACTCTGCATTTTATCAGCGTCTTCGCCAAACAGGACTATATCATCTGCGTATTCTAAATCGATCAGTGTACATCCTGGTAGGAGATCTATTCCGTAAAATTCAGTCGACGAGAACACTATTTCCAGCAGTAGGTCTGTGGTGAAGTAGAAAAAAATGGAAATCGTGGACAACCTTGTTCGACGTCACCAGAAGTTGCAAAATCAGATGACAGTTCGTTATAAGCTCTGACTCGACTAGTGATGTTTGAGTAAAAGTCTTTCACAAGGTTTATGTACGTCTGAGATACGCTAACCAATGACAGACAATGCCACGGAACCCCTCGATCTATAGAGTCAAATGCTGCATTCAAGTCAAGAACAACTGTCATCGTCGAACGCCCATAAGCATGCCTGTGTTCTAGAACGTGACCAATCGTGAATATGTGGTCAATGCAGCCACGACCAGGTCTGAAGCCAGACTGGATTTCTCGTGTTTGCAGTTCACGAATCTTTGTTAGGCGTCCGATAATTATTGAGACTAATACTTTAGATGATATATTTGTCAAACTAATCCCTCCATAGTTATCAATGGATGATTTTGACTCTTTCTTATATTTTGGGACAATCAGTCATTGTGACTAATCAGATGGGATGACGTTCAACTCCTAGAATTTAGCCAAAATATTAGTCAACCTAATCGCTAAAATTGTTTATTTAAACACATAGATATTGGTACAAGGAGGCACCAAATACATACGCGCCACACAAATCCCATTCGATATGTGTGAAAGCTGTGATACTGCCCGGGTGCCAAAACCGAAGCAGGTGGTTATCTTGGGGGGCCACACCCGAGCCTTTGACCTAAAGGTCTAACCCATAAGGCAGTGGAGCATCGTAAGGAGATTCAGTTTCATGGTAGCCGGTGGCCGAGAATTAGTTCATACACCATTTGTTCACGCATGATGCTGGAGCCCATGTGCACCATTGATTTGGTTTGGGATCCGGTTAAAGCGCCGGACATTCGCTTTTCCTCCTCTCATTTTCGTAAACAACACCCCCGCCACGAGAAGGCAGTGAGTAGGACCTCCCTGGCAGAGGCTATATACGCGTGGCCATGTGAGAGCATTTCGAGAGAGAGGGCGAACCCACCCCACTCTCGGCCGTACCAGGGCATTTGGGGGCTATTTTCGCTAAAATTGGACCACCATAATTCAAGACATCTGGAGCCAATCCATTTGGACCAGCTTTTCTTCCTCATTTCAGATTACCTATAGTCTTTTGAACTTCAGCTAGAGTCGAAGGACCTACTTAAATGCTTCATTCACGCGGTCTACGGATGAATGGTAGTTGTTAGTGCGGCATAGATTGGATTAAAGTACACTCAATGCACGACTGCTTTGGCGCACACTGATTGACTAATTTTTATCCAATCAGCGCTAGTCGATACTTGGAAAACACTAGAATCTTATGTAAAAACTATAAATAAACTAACGCTTTTCCCACTGTGCTTCTTGCTTCCATCTAACCGTGTTACTTGGAGTATAATCTTTTTCCTGTTTCAACCGTGTCCTGATTTGGTGACTTGTCGAGTGAATTGGTGTCCAAGAATACTAAGCAGTAGGAATAGCTGGGTTGTAATGAGAGAAAATTATAACAGTAGTTGTAGAGTAGCTGAAGATCAGCTGAACTGCTCCTTAAAGTGTTCCATCCATCGTCCTAAACGTCTGGGCTGAAAACGAATAAATGTCGTCTTTTTCCCAGATTGTCTCACATTTGAATTCTTCATTCCAGTTTCTTTCATTAGTCTGAAAAGCTGTCTTGTGTTACCTACAGCCTCTGCTTTTTCCAGCTCTTTTGCTTTCGTTGAGCACCACCGCTCACGGTCGTTCCTTAGACATTTGGTTAACCTAAATCTGCTTTGTTTTCGTTCTTTATCGTGTTCAGATCCTGATGGGATGCGTTAACGAGAATTTATCAGTGTAAAAGATTTAATAGAAATCCATTGAGTTTCCGTAACCCTTTGGTTTAAATCACTAATAGATATCACTGCTGATGCTGGCTTCCCGTTTTGGCGATGTGAGCTCAAGTGAATGACCACAATACGATCCTATATATGTGTTCCAGGGTTTCAGCCGAGGCCAGCTGGCCGATTTGACACAGGGTCCGCACGTATTCTAACGTTGAACATGAGTAGAAGTCATAACATGAATGATAACACTAATTACTACTTGCCTCATACTTTGGTAGATCGTTAGCTGGATCGTATGTAATTGTATCAGGACGAGGTCTTGTGTTAGGCTCATTAGGAGAACCAGAGTTCCCAATAGAATTATTGCCTCGATTACGACCAGCCCGAAGTAAACTCCAAAAAGTTGACAAATGACCCCACTGGTCGGAATACCAATCATCAAGTAGGTTGCCTCTTCGATTTAGCATTAAGTATTTATAACAGTCCCATACCATACCAAGACAATAGGCTTTGAATGCCAACATCATGCATGAGATGGACAATATGATAAAAGTCAAACCCGTAGATTTGATGTAAATAGGCCCTGTCTAAAAGAAAAAAAATCATCTCACATTACTTCCAAAAGAAATATTATTACTTCAGAAATAACAACAAACAAAACAGAATAAAATACATTCAGTTAAATTATGATTTCTCTTCAGTTACTTACAAACCAGAAACAATAGTAATAATAATTAAACACCACAGTACATAATTATAAATAATAATTATAAATATGGATAAATCATAAAGTGGTAAAGTGTATGAACATTTATGTCGTCATTGAAATCCTTGAAGTTTATATGATCGTAAAGCACACAAAATACTCTAGGAAATTTATGACATGAAGAGACTATACATACTGGTAGCTAAACGCTTTATTATTCATGAATGTTTCTTTTAAACCGTCGTGTTCCCGGATACTTATGCGGTATATATATAAAAAATCCCTTGGAGTTGTTTTAATCTGAAGAACTGCGAGACGGTAGATATTTATAGCTCAGGCAGATGGTTTCGGTTTTGTTTTCTGAGCTGGCTGGTTCGATCGTGAATCCTCCATCGTACTTCTGAACATCGTCAGAACAGACTTCAGGTAGAAGAAAAGTGTTCGAATTCCTCCACATATGACTCACAGCTTGTCCACTAGACCCCGATCTTCATTGGTTATTGTTGACCTATAACCTGTCATTGTTTACTCCTTTATTTTGATTGTTTCTCCCAGTGATTTGATTCTTGGTCCTATATTTGTACATGATCTTCCTGATTAGTTTATAAATCGGATCGATTCCAGTGTGTTTGTTGATTGCTGATTGGCCTGAGTGTCAAGCCTCTAAAGAGTCTATGGTGGTTTTAGAATTCCCTCTATCCAAAATCCCAACATTTTCCCTGTCCAATATGTGTCCACAGTTGTCCACATGCACTGATATAAGCGAGGATATATCATGGCGTTTGTTTGCTAATTGATGTTCGTCCAGGTGAAGATGAAGGGAGTGTCTACTTTGTCCGATGTAGTGTTATCGCAGTTCCAACAATTTATTTTGTAGATGATGTTCGGTTTTTCTTCTTTCGTCATTCAGTCCTTCGGTTTGCATGGGATTGATTGAGGTGATTTTCTTGGTTTGTGTGCTATGCCTATTCCAAATAACTTCAACAATATCGTTGTGATTTCTGATGTCTTTTATATATGGTAGAATGATTTGTTTGTTGGCTTCTGTATTCGACCTCATTTCTACCAATGCACTGGATCGACATATTTTGCTGAAGTTGATTGGGTAGCCGTTCTTACGAAAGATAGTTATTAGGTATTTTCCTTCATTTTTCTGCACTGCAAGCGTGTTGGCAGTGTCGTCGCCTTGTTGAATAAAGTTTGTACGCATTTGATATTGTGAATTCTTGGGTTGTTGCTACTGTAATTGAGAATTTGATCTTTCTAATTCGGCTTCCGATATACTTGAGTCTCCAGTTTCCCTGTATCGGTTCTAGTGGTTAATACATCCAAGAATCATTGTTTGACTATTGTTCGATTGTGAGCTTTATGTCATCGAAGACCTTGTTGGTCAGATTGTAGGCGTTTCCCAACTCATCCCTCTCGACAGTGACGAATGTGTTGTCCACACAGGGAATCTAACTTTTTGGCTTGATCACTGATTAGATCGAGAATTCCAGTCTCTGCATCACTGCTTATGCAATAAGTCCTGATATTGGTGATTCCATCGATGTTCTTTTAGTTTGTTCGTAGATTTTGCGGTGGAATAGAAAATAGGTTGTTAAGCATAAATCGATGAGTTCTAGTAAACTTTGACTTTGAAGCTTCGTGTACTTTGCGAGATTAGTGTCATTTGTGAGGAGCAGTATTAGAGTTTCCTTTGCTAAGTGTGTTTCAAGTGAGGTGAGTAAGACCGCATCATCGAATGATATCATCAGTTCGTCGTTGATTTGAATTTCCCTAATCTTATTCAGGAATTGTATTGGATATTTGATGGAGTGACCGGATAAATCTATTAAATATCCCAATATTCGTGAAATTTTTTGACAAATTATATGTTGGTGATTTGAGGAGTGTTACGATTGGAAGTAGTGGGATGTTTGGTTTGTGTATTTCTAGCCTACCGTAGAATTGAGGGAGTAATGGTTCATTGGATTCCATTCTCCATTGATCCTGTTTTGATATTTGTCCTGTTTTTGACAAGCTTGTTTAAAGTTCTTGAGATTCGGTTGCCTATCATTTTGACTGGATTTGTCTATTGGTTCGAAAACTTAACTTCTACCCAAAGTTTGAGCCGATGATGTTGTTCAGAAAAACAATGGAAGCTCCACGACCAAACCATCTAGCTCAGGGAACAAAACTCCCACAGAAAGAGCTGTTTTCAATGCTACTAAAGATTTACACAATCGTTACAACCGACATAAGTACTTATGTACTCAAACAAAGGAAGTTGGTATATCATCCAAAAATTACGACTATTATTTTCGTAAAAAGCAATAAATACTTACTTGTTTCACTCAATATAAAACTAAGTCAGTCCTTAAACCATTAAACCGTATTTTAGAGTATAATGTATGATGGATTCAAAGTTCAAAAGATAGATTTTAGTTATTAAAGCTCGTATTTTGTTTTTAATTGATGAATGAACTGGTCAGTCCTTGCCATATAACCTCCGTGTACAGAAGTCTCTAATATTATGTTCGCATGGTAAGAGGTTACTGTCGATAACATAGTAACCTATAGGTAACCTTCTGGATTTTGAAGTGATGCTTGCAGTGTTTGTTAAAGTGGGAACAGTAACTGAAGTAGTTTACTTAACTATTATGCAACAAACAACAAAAAGTGATTTTTGAACCTCATTCATTGCAGACACTAGCATCAAATTATCTTGTAATAATATCATGCAAACGAACATACTTTTGTGTGAATTACCAAGCGTATATCTGATGTGGAGGACATGAATCCGAGTATGTGAATTAAACATATGATAAGATCAAAGACTTGAATAAAGAAAAACGGGAGTAAGTGAGTTGGCTGTCTTGTGATTGCTCCATGGACCATGAAGCAACAGAACGCCAAAGAGAATGTTGTCACGCAAACAGCAATGTAAGGACTGAAATGTTTTATTTTGACTTCATGGGATCCACGTTCATGTTTCTGAGTATCCGACACTAGACTTGGAGACATATTATTGACGTCGACAAGTACATCGTCTTTATATCCTGGTGGAATGTCATAATTAAAATTGGTTTCAGACTCCACATTGTGCCCGAGATATAATTTATTTCCATTGACATTTCGGGATCCAGGAGAAGGCAATGTTAATGACTCATGAATATCAGAGACAGCTGGTACAAGACGAAAGAGAGTCGAGAATACATAAAAACCTAGGGTTGAAAAAAAACAGATCAATGTTTCAAAAGACTTATTAAATCTGAAACTTATTTGTATAAAAATTTAGTATATTAATGTTCCACGTTGATTATATCACCTAAGCAACGGTGACAGAATGCCTTCAATAATATCGTTGATAGACTGGTCTCGATGTTTTTCCTAAAAGCATACTAAAGTACAACAGTGAACAATCAAATCATACATGATGGAGAAACTATACAATAAGTGCCTAGGTAGCATTATAGATAAACAGTGAAGATCTGATGTAGATGTGGAAGCACGGATCAAATCAAGAGCAGAATTCCTACAACTGTTATTATATAAATACAAACAATGGTACAAGGGGGCACCAAATACATATACACCAGACAATAACCATGAACTTGTGAATACACTGCAGGTAAAATGCGTATGATAAAGGGGGAACACCAATGAACAAAAATAGTGTACAGGAATGAAATGATAATAATGAGAGAAACAGTTCACTTTGGAAAAATACAATCAGAAGGAATTCTTTCAATCAAAGAAGTCTACTTTTATGAAAAAATTAAAAGAAAATTACAGCAGGATCGTTACTGACTTCTATTCTGAGCCATGTCTGATAACCTCTCGAGACAGTGTTGTACCATTTCTAGGATCCCAGCCAGTGATTCGTGAAGGTCCAACGGGATTCAACGCTTACGTGGCTACCTAGATACACGAACTTCTCGACTCCTACTATCCGCTCACCACCCATGGTGAGTGCAGGTTAACATTAATTGCACGGCCATTTTTGTATTTTTTTTTAGTGAAGTTCAAAAGACTATAGTTAATCTGAAATGAGGAAGAAAAGCTGGTCCAAATGGATTGGCTCCAGATGTCTTGAATTATGGTGGTCCAATTTTAGCGAAAATAGCCCCCAAATGCCCTGGTACGGCCGAGAATGGGGTGGGTTCGCCCTCTCTCTCGAAATGCTCTCACATGGCCACGCGTATATAGCCTCTGCCAGGGAGGTCCTACTCACTGCCTTCTCGTGGCGGGGGTGTTGTTTACGAAAATGAGAGGAGGAAAAGCGAATGTCCGGCGCTTTAACCGGATCCCAAACCAAATCAATGGTGCACATGGGCTCCAGCATCATGCGTGAACAAATGGTGTATGAACTAATTCTCGGCCACCGGCTACCATGAAACTGAATCTCCTTACGATGCTCCACTGCCTTATGGGTTAGACCTTTAGGTCAAAGGCTCGGGTGTGGCCCCCCAAGATAACCACCTGCTTCGGTTTTGGCACCCGGGCAGTATCACAGCTTTCACACATATCGAATGGGATTTGTGTGGCGCGTATGTATTTGGTGCCTCCTTGTACCAATATCTATGTGTTTAAATAAACAATTTTAGCGATTAGGTTGACTAATATTTTGGCTAAATTCTAGGAGTTGAACGTCATCCCATCTGATTAGTCACAATGACTGATTATTCCAAAATATAAGAAGGCACCCAGGCAGTATCACAGCCCACACACAAATGATGAACTATCTTTTATTCCCACTCTGTCTATCCTTACTTTTCAACTTATACAGCAGCTCGCCTATGGTGGAAATTCGGTTCTATCTAAACGTTCTCGGGTCACTGCCTGGATGAAAACAGTATGTTACCACTGAATATGAGTACTGAAACAGTTTTTCTGAAACCACGTGCACCATTCAAACTGGCTGCCTTGAAAGTTCGCACAATTATGCAGGTCAGACAATAGATAGAGTACCTAGCTGGACTTTGATCATGCCCTGGTCTGCACCAATCTTATCATACTTTTCAGTAGTCAACGAAGTGACCGCCACCAACGGATTGATGTTAGCAAGTTGGTTGCAACTCCTGTTGCTAGTAAATATCGAACCGAGCTAGCTTCTAGGCTAGCTACCATTCCACCGAAAAGTATAGATAAGCATCGGTCGCAGTTGTATGACGCCATGAAAATGGCGGGTACAGTCAGTTGTGGGTTCGCAAAACGTCCCGCTTATAAACACTGGGTTTCTTTTGGTTCTTTACAACTCATTGAAGCCCGTCGGTCTACTCCGGGTGACCGTGAGTTTGACCACAAACGAAGGCTATTACGTAATGAAATTGGGCAAAGCTTGTCTAAGGACCGAGAAGCCTGGTGGTCGGAGCGTGCTAATGAGCTGGAAGTAGCAGCTGCATTCTGGTAACTACCGGAAGCTCTTCCAACTCATCCGAGCCACTGGCAGCAAGAAGTCCGGCGTAAGCCAAATAATCTGTGAGGTTGACGGGATGCCAACCACTAACATCCATCGACATCTTGGACGATGGACAGAATTCTTCGAAGGGCAGTTCAACTGGCCTGCTGCTCCGGCAACATCGGTCAGACTGTCTGTCCTGCCCTCCATGGCCGGTGACGACTGATCCACCAAGTGAGACGGAAGTCCGCAAGGAACTCCAACTCTTGGAGCGCTACAAATCACCTGGCCCAGGTGACTTACCTCCAACTCTTTTTAAAGATGTTGGTGACTTTCTGACTAAGGAATTGACGACGTTGTTTACAAAAGTTTGGGAGCTAGAGAGAGTACCAACGTCATGGAATGAGTCGATAGTTGTCCCTATCTTTAAAAAGGGTTCACGACGTTTCTGTAACAACTATCGGAGGATAAGTCTACTTCTGATTACGTTCAAGCTATTGGCTTCCGTCATACTTCGTAGGTTGTTCAAAACCCGAGAAAGATTGACTCGTGAGGAGCAGGTTGGTTTTCGTTCTGGTCGAGGATGTATTGATCATATCTTCACCCTCCGCCAAATGTTAGAACACCGCCATACTTATCAAAGGCCAACAATCGTGGTGTTTCTTGACATCAGGGCTGCCTTCGACTCGTTGAACAGGACTGTTCTCTGGGATTGTCTATTGAAGAAGGGTGTGGCTGGGAAGTTTATTAACATCCTAAAAGCCCTATATACATACACCTTAGGCAGAGTGAGGGCATACAACCACCTCTCTCCATTGTTCCATTCGAGCAGTGGGGTTAGGCAGGGTTGCCCAATCTCACCAGTCCTCCTCAACTTTGCCATCAATGACATTCTGGAAACAGTTCTGATGGATGTAGGTAATGGCAGTGTGGATCCGTTGCCTGGAGTAAGACTTCTCGACCTTGAGTATGCGGATGATATTGTCTTACTGTGCGATAATGCCCAATCCATGCAATCCGCACTTAATCAGTTGGAAATCAGTGTTCATAAGTATGGTATGTGCTTTGCACCTTCGAAGTGCAAAGTACTTCTACAACACTCGCAGAATTCTAATCCTGTACTCACTCTGGATGGTGAACAGATAGAAGTAGTTGAGAAGTCCGTGTATCTGGGTAGCTGTATTAGTGCTGGTGGGGGTGTGAGTGATGAGATCAATGCACGTATAGTGAAAGCCAGAGCGGCTTATACCAATCTGGGCCACCTTTGGCGCCTTCGTGATGTTATTCTGGCTGTAAGAGGTTGGATCTACAACGCGTCGGTGAGAGCAGTTCTGCCCTATGCTTGTGAAACCTGACCTCTCCGAGTTGAGAACGTTAGACGACTCTCTGTGTTCGATCATCGTTGTCTCCGAAGGATTGCTGACATCCAGTGGCAACACCATGTTAGTAATGCAGAGGTTTGGCATCGTGTGTTCGGGCACAGAGACGATAATGCAATTGGTGTCACCATCTTGAGACACCGACTTCGGTGGCTTGGACATGCTCTATGAATGTCGTCCCAGAGAATTCCACGTCGTGCATTATTTGCCGACTCTGGGACTGGTTGGAAGAAGCGGAGAGGTGGTCAGTGCATGACATGGTGTCGTGGTATGAAAGAAGGCTACAAAGGACTGGGTTCTGTTGGTCCTTCACGACTCTATGGTTGGGGTCCGAGAGATGGTGCTACACAGTGGCTAGAGACGTTATCAGATATGGCTCAGAATAGAAACCAGTGGCGATCCTGCTGTAACCTTTTACTTTCTTCATAAAAAGTGGTTGTCTTCCTTAACTGAAAGATTTTTTCCGACTGTACCTTTCCGTTCTCCCATTATTATTATTATTACACTACCTTACACCAATCTCTTCGTTATCGTTCTCTTTTTTTTACGCTCCGTACGTTTTTTCCCTTCTCTTTAAATTCTCATTGTTTTGTCTGGCGCATACATATTTGGCACACTCTTGTACCAATATTTATGTGTTCAAATAAATAAATAATAAATAAATGTACAGGAATGAAATGATAATAATGGGAGAAACAGTTCACTTAGGAAAAATACAATCAGAAGGAATTCTTTCAGTCAAAGAAGTTCACTTTTATGAAAAAATTAGAAGTTAAAGCAGGATCGTTACTGGCTTCTATTCTGAGTCATGTCTGACAACCTCTCTAGACAGTGTTGTACCATTTCTAGGACCCCAACCAGAGAGTCGTGAAGGATCAAAAGAAGTCAACACTTACGTAACTACCCAGATACACGAACTTCTCGACTCCTACTATCCGCTCACCACCCATAGTGAGTGCAGGTTCAGGGTCCTCTCAGTCTTGTAAAAGTACTTTGCACTTCGAAAGTGCGAAGAACACGCCATACCTACGGGCACTAATTGCCAACTGATTAAGTTCGGATTGCATGGCTTAGGTGTCATCGCACAGTAAGACAATATCATCCGCATACTCAAGGTCAAGAAGTCTTTCTTCAGACAACAGATCTAGACCATAATTACCCACATCCATCAGAGCGGTTTCCAGAACGTCATCGATGAAAAAGTCGAAGAGGAATGGTGAAGTCGAGCAAACCTGCTTAAAACCATTGCTTGAATGAAGCAATAGAGAAAGGTGGTTGTATATAAGGCTTTCTCATGAACACACTTCTTCAATGGATAACTTCAGAGGATAGTCCTGGCCAACGAATTGGCGACCCTAATGTCAAGAGTTTCAAAGAAGACTGGACTGTAGTTGTTATTGCAGACATATGAGAAATCAATATTTTTATAGTTCAGGTGTTTTTAATTCAGCTACAAAGGTTCTGAGGAATATATATATAAGGGAAAGAATTTTAATGTCGCAATTGGCATACTAATCTACGTAGTTTCAGAATCCTTAAAAGCTCTTGACGAAAAGTGGTTAGCCTACAATATACGGACAATTTCATCAGGACCGAGATATTGATATCACATAGAAACACTCCAATAAAAATATTCCTGTAAATCGAGCAAAACGTTAAATTTTCAGGAAAAACCGATGAATGAAAATGATAGTGCTGAGCGTGTCAAATGCTTTCTTCTGAGTAGACTGTTAGCTAAACGTGAATCAATGAGGTCTGATTTCAGTCTACCCTATTCAAAATTGATAAAAACATGTCACATTACCAGTGACACGAGGGACAGGCAGCGAGGTGATGCACGAAATCAAAAATAGACAACACATATAGCTCTTATAAAGGTGTTAGTGCAACTTTTACTTAATTTACGAAATTTTAATAAATTTAGAAAGGGGGAAAATTTGAAGCAAACTATTAGACTGTCAGAATGACAAAAGAGAACTTGAGGGTGAATATTTTCTCATTTAACGGACTGAGACGAAGATATCTTCACAAAATTAAGATAAGTTGTAGCAAGTCATAAAATACTGATGGACATATAAACAAACTACCATAATCCAAAATGACTACTACTTCATTCTTGAAACGGTTCTAATCTACGTATACTTTAAGCACTGTCCAAGCTCAACCTTGAGTTGGGATTACAATGGAAATTCAAGCCTACAGGCATATTGTGAACAGGGATAGGATGAGTGAGAGAATACGGATTCCGAATATAATGCGTTAGAGTGAACAGAATCCCGAAAACCATAAAACGGTGTGAAAAAAGCCTGATATTAAAAATTTCATGTGACAAAATGAATACTAACTGCGAGCAAAATGAATGCAATAATAATTGACGGACGATATGTGGGTTAAGCAGATTATTGATCAAATGATTGGTTAAAACAAGGCAGTCATGAAAGAAAAGTGAATCGACGGGTAAATTAAGAAACAAGAGAATGAGATAAAACTTACGGACGTTGGCCTGCGATGGATCTAAACTTCCATGATTATCCTCTGGAATAAGTCTCGGATTAAACGTCATTAGGAAAAGAAACGATATAAAGACAAGTTGGATAATTATCTGAGTTATTCCGAAAATGATCGTCCCTGTCCTCACATGTAAGCATAGGCAGCATGTAAACTGATGTCTCGCATCGTTTGTAAAAAGAGCGGGAGCTCGTGGCATTTTCTTTAAGTAACAATTTTGTGACAACGACAGTTAGTGAGAATATCAAACAACAATATAGTACGAGCAACAATCGAATTAGCCGCTGCAGATATACATATGACATCCACTTTTAGTGTAACTAAACAAGTGACTTTGAAAACGAGAAAATGTGAATAAAAACTTCGTAACAAGACGTTGTATTGACCGAAGACAAATTAGCGGTAGACTGTTTGACTGCATGCAATGGTGCAAAATTAAAGTGGATAAGTTGTTTTCGAATTATTTTGTTGCGAAGACTACAGACGCCAGTATCTATGTAGCGAACTTGAACAAACAGATTGATTTCTTCCCTCGCGAATCATGTTATCTTCTCAGAGTTCAAAGACTTTTACATATATCTTGATTGATTTATCTCACTGTATAGATATAACACTCATCTATATTAGTTTCGTTATTAGTTCTCTAGCAAATTATACTTACAAGTAATATTTACTGGAACACGTTCACAATAGAATGGTCAAGAAAGGCCACGTAAGTCTTTTATTGGACGCTAAATATATCCACAAACAACCTGAATATTATGAATTTATACCGGTGAAGATCACCTCAAATTAAGATAATAACGCTCGCCTTTCGAAATAATGAATCAAAGAATGTTCTACTGGTTGTTGTTTTTGGTGTTTGAAACTACTGAAAGCTCATTCACAAAACATGTATTTATTATGATGAGAATTATACGTTTAGACAGACAACGTGTTCAAGTGTTTGTAATATAAATCACTCAAAATCACAAACACTTCTATGTGTACTAAAAAACGATTAGGAAAGTTGTTCTACAAATGCTATTAGGAAGGTGATAACAAAAAACAAGAAAGCATTAAAATTCCACCAAGTGACAGTTTTAGAGACATTGTTACGACTGGTTTACATTCTCAATCCTTATTCACTCCCCTTCGACTCTTTTGCGCATTGTTTTATACCAGTTATTAATATTCAGTAAATAGTTGTATTCCTCGCAATTTCCCGTCATATTTTGTAACGTAAGTTTGACGTGTAACATCCTGAAACATTTACATGTAGTTATAATATTTACTGCATCTATCACTATAATTACACTGTCTCAATAGTTGTAGTGGTCGTCTACAATTTATGTATTTAGGACTTGTTTAAACGAAACGGTTTCCATAATAAAGAAGGAACGAATTGAGCGAAGAAATTTCTTTTCAATTAGTTTTTCATCATGGCTCTACACTAATATATATACGTTTTAAAATAATAATATAATACTCATGGAATAGATATGTTACGTAATAATTACATAATGACATTTAAATTAACATTGATTGTTTGGAAGAAAGAGGATTATTAATATTCAAAGTGATCAAGAAGTTGCTACGTTGCGTAATGTAAGAAACAAAGAAGGAACAGAATTTTAACGGATTGTCAATAGGATGGTAGTTACGTAATAATCAAGAGATGAATGTTGAGAATTTATTAAGTTCAAAAGCAACAGAAACAAAATTACAAAAGTTAACGAAAAAACAAGTGGAAGAAGTATGAAAAATAGTTCTTTTGAAGGAGATCTTAAACTGATGGCCAGGGCAGAGAGAGTGGTTGTATGAATCTCTTTTGAATGTAAAGGTCAGGTTTATGAACATGGATTGCGATGGCTTCAGCAATGTGCAAGCGGCGCACTCGTAAACCATGTGGCAAGTTTGGTGGGATATTGTAGATAACCTTAAAAGCTTTATTCAATTGGACTTGATGATCTGTGTCAACCGAATGAGAGAGAATAGAACTTTTAATCACTTTTACCAGTCCTTTATTTAACCACGACGGATGATGTTCAGTAATGCGATGACGGTAACAACGAAAACTCAAGAAAAAGTTGTAGTGACACTGGGCCTAAACTACACAATTCTCAAAGCTGAACACGAGACAACTGGGAAAATAGATGCTCAATATGTACCACAGAGATAAACCCAACGATGGAGAGGGCGGGAAGGATTAAATGAATTGAATACCAATTAACTGGATGGCATCGCTCGGCCTTGCAGGCGTGGTCAGTGTTTAGTGTTGTTATATACCTTTTATCCATATTAAATATGTTGTTCTATTTCACCCTAAATGTATTCCTCACCATATATTTTTTATTGTTACTATACGATGATTTGGTGTAGGCAATGATGTGACTTTCACGTAAGGTCTTATAGATTAGGCAGTTACATTATGACAGATCTACAATGTTAGAATTTGATCTATTATTAAAGTGGCATTAGTAACGAAGTAGACCGCAATTCCACGGTGCAATTCACTATTTATGAGGTCAAAAATAGACCGCAATCAGAGCTTAATGCAAAAATGAACTCAGTTTTTTTTCATTTGATTCACTTTCGTAATTATGATAGTAAATATAAATGACGTTAGATTTCGACTGAACTGTCATATTATTATATAACGTATCTGGGAGAAATTATAATAATAACATTTAAAGTTGATAGCCTTTTCTACCCGCTTTATGAACATATACAGGAATTAAAGAGGTAGAATGTATTTTTAAAATCTCAGAGAAAGTATATCAAGCCAACGTTTCGCCCGGCGAACTGGTCCAAGCTTTTTCAATGAAATATAACTGAAAGTACTGCAATAATTAGTCACATATTCTTCAAAAGTAAAGTGATGCGCGTCTTTCTTCAGCAGGGTAATTAAACCATGTCGCAGTTAATACTAATTTACGATGTCACTTTTATAGGGTTTATGAGTGAATTTCTGTAAACAGAAACCACAATCACTGAACAAATTATAGACAGAGTTTTAATGCATGTTGACGAGTAATATCTAAATGGTGATCGTCAGTATCTTTGTTAATATCAACTGATTAGATGAAATTCTGGAAAGTTTAGAAGATGAAGGGCATTGTATACAACAAGTTAGACACTGATAGGTACATTATGTTAGCTGCAATTTCATTTACTTATTGAATTTGATGCTGATAACGTAGTTAAATCGTTTCTTTCATGATTGGTGTATTGTTTCTCAGACCTCCGTTAAGTTGAGAAAGTCCTCATACTTTTTCTGATATGCAACTTCTATCAACGAATCAAAAGGCTCGGACATTTCTAATAATCATGTCTATGCCAGTGAGCAACCCAATGAGTTTCTGAATATGGAGGACTATGTGGAGAAGGACTTTACAAGTTTACGATGGCTGTGCCTTAGAATTGGCTACTGCCACGTCTATTAATTTGATGAATTATTTAAATATAAACATAACACCTATATAGTCTTTTGCATTATAAATCTTGCAAGTATAATTAGAGTCTAGTTGGATGTTAAAACTACTTTAACAATAGACCTTATCTGAAAACGGTAGATTTGTGCACACCACAAGACAGAGGAAGATAAATCAATGTTTTTCCCGGTGATTTTGTGGTTTTACTGCGGTGTACACCCAACAAACACACTGCATTTGAAATAAGGAATGACCGTCTCTTATGAGGCCGTTCAAGGTCGTTGAAACGGAACGACGGGCAGCTTTGGGAGGGTTTGATTTTTTTCACCTTGCTGATAAAAGGTTACTAAGTTTAAATGCAGTTGTCTTTTCTATGATTGGATGTTGTAATTATTCTTTATGTTACTATTACTGGTAGTCTTATTTATTTCAGACGGAAAGACGCGGTAAACACTGCGGACAACTCACATTTTGAGGTTTTAACAAATTTCTGTAAATTGTTAAAAAAGAACAGACGTTCTAGACAAGTCGTTGATTTGCAAATTTCAATTTTGTACGTATGTCAATTCGGTGATTTAGATACTTCGATAGACTCAACAGCCAATATTGTTTGTTTTATATAAGATGGCGAACAACTCCCACAAACATCATTTCCTAAGCCTTTGGTATTTATGCTAAAATATTACTACAAATGAATATGGTTTAAACCAGATCACATCTCACTTCATGGAGGGAAATACTTCTCAACATATCTAAGCTGTTCAGAAGTATTGTTACACTGATCATCTTTGACAAATTGAAAATATTTTTATGTCTCATTGAGGTTTTTGCGTATGAAATTCCCTAACATAATCTGGGCAATTCCTCGTTTTCAAAGTAATGTATAGCAGTTTTACTCCGAAATTTCACGATTATTCCAGAAAAACTAACATTATTACTTCGCCAGAGGGAGTTTTGACGAAATCCCAAAATGAACCGGATTCGTCTAAACTTATTTCATGGCGCTCATTCATTTGAAGCCGAGTATGTGAAATAAAAAGTCAAATAAGATTGGTGAAACAGCACTACGCACCTATGTAAGGAATGTAGTGGTGAATTAAAGGTGTAAAGTTAAGAAAGAAAACGAAGTTTTAATAAATTAAAAGGTTCATTTTCATTCACAATCTATCCAAACGTAACTGTGCATGAGTTCGAAGTCGCAAACTAACTAATTAAAACACCTATGATCCTTTTGAAGCCTTAAGACTCCCTGTGGAAACAAGTAGCTTGGAACGAATAAAATAGTCACACACGCAAAGAAGTCGGAATCGACATTGTTTGACAATAGTTGGAATATCTCTTAAGAGAAATAAAAACCTTTCAGATGGATTAGTGAGAAGCCAGATTTAAACTGTATACATCCCTATAATAGTTTTTAATGTCTAAGCCGATTAGTTATCAAAGGATATTTTCCACGACGAGCAGGGTCTTCATTTTGATGGTTAAACAGCTATGTCTAGTGAATGGTGTATAGCGTGACAAAAGCGGTCACCTACAAAGTGAAGTGCTTACAAGTTAGTTTTTTCGAAGTAATGTCTGCCACTACGAGCTTCAAATTCGTTACATATCAAAAGACCTATTCTCGATAAGTCAGTGTCCCCTACCACTCTATAGCAAAGTGGCTGACAAATTACTTAGAACCCGTTAAAAAACACATCTGTTAACATTCCATACGTGATATTTTTGAATTTATTGAGCATACAAAAGTAGTTAATATAAATGACAAAATTATGCTATCTTTGTCGAATCATTATTTACTAATGTTCCACTCACAGAAACCACTAAATTTATCTGCAAGTACGTGAACAACTATGAGATTAACATCGAAATACCGGATGCTTACTTAAAGGAACCATTACTGCAGTACACACGCAATGAACAGTTTACGTTCAACGACGTAATTTATAGACAGAATGACGGCATAGCAATGGGATCCCCTCTAGGTCAATTACTTGCAAATCGCTTCATGGCCAGTTTAGAAAACAATAAACTCATAGCGACTATAGAATGACTTGTAAAATAGATACGTTTGTGACAATAAATATGACTTCAGTCATCTTCTGGGGACATTTAATAATTGCCACCCAACAATAAAATTCACGGTGCAAGTCGAAAGCAAACAAAATATTGATTTTCTTGACGTGGAAATAAAACGGAAGGAAGATGGTACTCTAAAAAGATCTATCTACAGGAAACACATGTGGAATGGCCAACACTTGCAACAAGAATACGACGAATCTGTAGTCAAGAAGTCATAGATGAAGAATTGTGCCACTTGAAGGAGATACTTATTAAAAACGGATGTGCTTCGATATTCATTGATAAGAACATAAAACCAAAGACACAGATAACTATAGTAGAAAATAAAACTTAATACATGAACATCGAATTCAAGGGTGATAGAGCCACACATAACATAAAAAGGAGAATTTCCCATTCTCCAAAAATAACATTTCTGCGATAAAATTACAAATGGCATTCTCCAGCCAATCATTGTTCACCAATAATCTTAAAGATAAATTACCGCATCTGACCAACTCAATGTGCATCTATCAATTTACTCGCTCATGTGGAGCTAGGTATATAAGTCGTTCGATGCGTACTTCATCCAGTAGAATTCAAGAACATCGTGCGGCATGGCTAGAAAGAGGAGGAAGCGGCCCAATAAGGAACTCAGTAGTCGAATACCTTGTGAACACAGGTCACTCAATCAAGACAGACTCTGCGTTCAAGGTCATTTACAAGTAAGCAGAAGTCTCCCCGGAACAATTATACTGCATTTTCTTTGCATTGATGAAGCATTAGGCGTACATCTGGAACGACCAGAATTGTGTGTGCAAAAGCGATTTTTAAAACCTCTTCTTCTACCATGGTTCTGAGGTCTTATGTTTTTATTTTTTTACTTTTAGTTTTTCTTTTTCTTCATACTCTTCTTCCTTTTCAGCCATCTGCTACACCATTCACCGCCCTCTTAAATTTTCTACCCTCAACTGGTTCATTTTGTTTCCACGACTATCCTCATTACATTTATTCTCAATTTCAACATTTACCATGCCGAGCTATCATTTCCCAATGATAATTTCCCTATATATCCCTTGATGAATACTTAGGCCATTACCAATCAAATGATTATTAAAATTTCCTTGTTTTTAAAAGAATTTTTTAATATCTTTGTTTATTTAACCTCACAGACAATATGCCTAACAGAAGTTTATTATCGGTATAATTATCATCCTGTTAAAATAAGCATATATATCTGCGATTGTACAGCTTTGAAAATGAATTCGCCGAAAATAGAACTCTTCGCTGAATTAATCTTTCTTATGTGGTGGACCAGTCAATGTATAAACGTGAAAAGTATCAACAAAGTTACTAAAGATTAATAGCAATATTAATATAAACCAGTTAACTTTTACGAATACAATAAAAAATTGGGACGTTACTTAAGTTCACCAACTTGACGCGTGTTCAACTTTAGTCTAGTGCTGTAAATCCACAATCATAAATGCTTGGTAATTCCAACCAGGTTGACGAACTCTACAGTAGTGTAATCCAACGTAAGGTATAGTATATTCCAACTCATAGTCTATAAATGTAGGAATCATTTGATTTAGATTTCAATTAACTCAATCACAAACAAAAATAGAACGAGGGATATATGTGTAGCAATGTATTTGTTGACAAGCAACAATATGTCACGCTATGTAGTTACACAACGGAAAGTGTGTTCAAGGTCATTGACTAAAACAACACGTACATTCATTTAATGATAAATGCACATACAGTGAAAAATTGACAAAATAAATACAAATAATATTAAAAAACTATTTACAAAATACGTTTGTCAGTCATATCTCCACACTCCGAATCAAATTATTCACCAGGTAGTTCAACGAATGTTAAACAGTTTGCCGATAATTATCAAAGCCAAAGACGTCAGACCCACACTGATCATTAGCGTGCAATTAACAGGATAATGAGTCACCGATTATGTCTTGTACTTGCACTTCCATCTAAATCTTGTAAGGTCGCAATAGCGAATTACACATGCTAGTGACCTACATGTCTGACAAGAAACCGTAGGATGGTAATGTGACACAACCCGTAAATTTAAGACCGACGTTTACGGGAAATATGTTTCTGTCAAGCATGTATTCTACGTATGGTTCTTTGCATCATACCTGTCCCAATGCTAATCTAGTTTTTCAAACTTCTTAAACGTAATAAAAAGAAACCACTTCGAAATAAAACGAGAATTAGAAACATGTCTAAACATTTCGGAAGCAAAATCTTTATTTTAAAAACATAAATAAGGATATACGAGTTACAATATTTTCGAGTTTTTGAGGAATGAACATATCAAACATAACTCTCATATTCGCTTGACGATTCCGAAAATGGGATATGAACTAGTATGAAATATTATGCTTGCTCTTCAAAGTTTTGAAAATCCTATATTATGATTTCATACTGCTTTTCTTGTGAATTCATGATGTGTTATACTTTGTCAAATTAGTACTACAATTGAAGGTCGTACATCTACGTACGAAATCAAAACATGGCTCAGTTTGTCTCCGTAATTAGATTATTTATAGTTTACATTTTCTCCCAGTTATTCAGAGAAAAACTGATGGATGAGACATGGCTTGAAAACAATAAGCTGAATACTCTGACTGAGAAAAACATTCAGCTATTTCGTAGGTTAGTTTTAAAATAACGATAATAAATTCAGAGACATGTTTAACACCTAATAGTATGTTTAGAACAAATTTCTAACAAAGTTCGGGTAAAAGACTATTTATTAGCACAATTTTGTTTCTACGACCATTTATTTGTTATGGAAACCATTCGTGGTGAGACTATTATTTATGGACGACCTTTGAGCAACGCTAGGCTAACCTTGATAGTGTCCACCTTCATACTAGGGCTAACTGAGGGTTATAAAGTAGTTTGAAGAATAAAGATTATGGACCACAGTCGATGGTTAGGGTTAGGAATTACATTTAGGGTTTTCCTCACGAACTGATATAAGCTATAATGCCAAAATTCTATTTGGCCGAATAGGTGAATGACTTTCGTGCCAAAATTTAAGACTTGTTGACGTGAATTTGATTGGATTGTCCCTAAATTAGAGTCTCGCCGCTTTCATGAATCGCTAACTCAATTTTCTTGTTCTCGATAAAAATAAATCGTGAGGCCTTGAATTGGTCATAAATGATTAAAGCTATTTAAAAAGACATCAAATGTCAGTTAAAAAGCAATTGCTGGTAGTTAAACATTTCCAACTCACACTTGTTTATAAGAAAAGAGAATTTTTATTACTCGTACCTCCGAACATTTTTCGAACCCATTAGCTATGCATTCCACACTCTCTTTTAATTTTTCGTACTCATCCTGAAAACCATAACATTTGTTATTCTATTCTCTAGACATATCGTTCTATTCATTCTTTGGTAACAAGAAGACTTGACTGCTCTTTTTCAAGACAAATTCAATTGGTTTTCAACAGTTGCCTTGTAAAGTTGTCTATATTTTGTACTATATCCCACTTATGTACACAATCATGGATACCGTCTTCAGGAATTGTATAAATATTTAAGTGCTTATTATTGAGAAATGATGTTTCTTATTTAATATCTCACTTTAGATGAATTACCAGGCAATCATATGAATTACATTTTTTACATTTTAAACACAGAATATCAAGACTTGAAGAATCTTTAAATTCGCTGAGGAATATTAAACCAGTTAAAAGAACACAGTATGAATTGAGCAACAAAGTCAATGGAAGTATCTTAAAAGAGACAGTAAGTACAGTTATGAATTCTTTCATCATTCTGGTTGTATTTAGTTAAACAAATTAAGTTCTGTTTTTGACTAGACACCATAAATTTTTCAGATTATAGACAGAATAATACTGCTTTTGGAAACTTTATCCGCTTGAAAAAAATTAAAATGTCAGTCATTAGATTCAGTCACGGCTGCTCAGTCTTTATGGACTCAACGCACGATGTTAAAGTTTGACTATCCATTCTTAATTGATAGCAATCAAAAATCCAAAAAATGAAAGTAGCGCCTAGTGAAAACAAGTTTTTTAAACGAATCAAATCTTCCATTAAAACTTCATTTAAATTGAAATGAAAGTTTCTGAACTGAAGTATAGGTGGACTAGCATGAGACTTGCGCAAATGTGTGACACTGTCTATGTTCAACAATAAATCGTGTTTCTCAAGATTTCAAATGAAAAGGTTGCTTTGCTTCTGTACAGACAGATTCTTACCTACACAGGTTTGCTAAACCTTTCAAATTTGAAGAGAAATGCAAATGTTTTGAATGTAATCTGAATTTCTGTCGCCGTTTTCGGATATTTCCAGCAAAAGACTAAAAATAAGAAATTGAAACTTTAAATCAACTACCCCCGCTTTGATAATGTAGTACCGTTTCTTTATTTATGATATTCATATTGTGACATTTCTAAAAGTATGAAACTAACACAACTTCATCAATAATATTTAATAATAGGAATAACTTTTTGATGCAAATGACTTTGGACACCATTATATTTTTGTAGGAAACGACATTATTAAAGGGAAAAAAATTTTTGAATGGCTTTTTCGTGATTAGCAAATATAACTATTTCATAATGTAATTAAAATTCTTATAATCAGATTAATAACCTTATTTTTAGCTGTGTTCAAAGCCTAGTTAAGAAACTTTTAAACGCAAAATAAGTTTTTTGTGTAGAGTGAATAGAATTACATGAATTTTTGATAAATAATTTAAACTTTGTTTCCAAACGTTTGAACATTTGGTTTAGTCAAACTATATATTGCTTTACTTACTATCGTTACAATAAATAGTTAATAATTTCTATACAAGTAAAATTTATTGTTTCACGTTGATCTAATAAAATTCTATCCAGGAAAGGAATAAAATATTTTAAGCTGACATAATACATATTTAGCCGTTTGTAACATGAGAATCTGGCTTTCTTAATGAAAATCATTGCTCTATATTAGCGTTGTTTCAGAAATGTTTATGTGTTCAAATTACTTTACTAAGATTGAGTTAAATGCTCGATAATTGATTTCAAGGTGAATAAAATTTTAGTCACTACATTTAACAAATAATACTATTTTAACGATAATTAAAACTTTTTGACTGTGGTTGTAAGGTATTGCACAAGGAAAAAGAATGTATAAGGTCAAAAATTTCATCCACGCATATATAGAAAACAACCTAAGATAATATCAACTAACAGTGGAAGGTATCTTTTGACGAAACTTCATAACTCAGTTCCGAATATACCTAATTAATAAATGTTAGTTATTTTCATGGAATAGATAGAATGTGGCTAGCAGTAGATTTCAGGAGGCACGTTTAGTCCTGTTCGTCCCTCGTCAGCTAGGTATGTTAGTGTTATAGAGTTGATGTTCAAACTGGGACTGAACCCGGTACCTTTCATTTTAACTGATTTACAAGTTGTTTACTAAGCTACCGAATCCTGATGGCTACTAGCCTGTTCAACGAGTATGAACTGTAATGATTTTAGTTATCATTTTGTTTACATTCCTGACTGGAGTTCGATCAGTCTTACTCGGCGCATATGCATTCTGTATGCATCGCTTCGGTGTGACTGTTATTTCAAAAGTTTTTACAAAATAAATGAAATGTAGGCAGCAATGAGATATAGTAAAACATGCATCCTGGGTTTTACTCCTGGCAATATAAATAAAATCCTATGAAAACTTGTGTCAATTAGGTGATAACGAGGATATTCGCCAAAAGTCGTTAAATACGTCGACTAAAAGTGGTCAAAATTCAGTCAAGAATACCAACAACGGAATGATTCAGACCATTACAAATGTATGTATCATACTGTATGATAGTGAGTTGAAGATTCAGAAATTTAATCACTGTACTTGAATTACTTATGAATATCTTGATCAGAACCAACCTGAAGGTTTATTGATTAATGAGTCTTGAGAACCAATGAAAATTCTGGCATAAAATCAAAACTAGTAATCCCTAATTTTAACAAACATTCCACTGGCATAAAATTATGAGACCGACTGCGTTCAAACATTCAATTAATCTCTAGATCTCTAAACTAGAACCAAATAATAGTTGAGCCGTAATTGTCGTACCTTTACAAACGCATGAACAGCTCATAGGAAATGTACCAACACAAACAGTCATTTTGGAAACCTCGGATTATAAAAAATAAAGGTAGGTACAAAAAGGGTGACAAATACCGTTCATCAGTGCAAGTATATAAATGCTTGTAAAAATAATCCAAGTTGTTTAATCGGGAATCCCACATAGTCTTTACTGACTATAATTTCCTTGAGATATAAATTTTAATTTTTTGTTTGAAACATGACAAATAACAGAAAAATGATTAGTTGACAGCGAACACATGACATGCTTAAAAAAAACGATACCGACTGATTTATTGTTACCATTGTTGTTTAATTTAATTTAACTTCAATGTAACCCTGTGAACTCAAAGGTTAATTTAAATTGATAAATTCACTTCTATATGGTTATCTAAACCGAAAATTTAACAAAACCTTGATATTCCAGGTAATTTACCAATATATTCGGTCATTACAAATGGATCTACAAAACAAATTAGCTGAAATTTGTCAATATTAAATATGTTTAGTCTTTAAACTAGTCAGTTATATTTTAAATCATTATTTATCTGTATACATTGATAGACGTTGGCAGTTTCTTAACTTAAATATTAAAAATGTTCAGTTATATTATCGATACTCAAGAGGTAAAAAGTTAACTAAATGTGTTCATACAATTTTTTTGCTTAATATTTAACATTTAAACACACTTTTGATGAACATATGTTCCGATAGAACAATGAGAAGATGGAGTTGATCCGAAAAATATGATGTATTTGCGCTATACATTTCGAACAATCTGGTTACACATATACTTATCAGGGCATTTTCTATGAAAATTAATGAAGGTCAATTAAATGAAAGTTCAAAGGGAAGAGAACCAATTTTACATCGTATAGAAAAATAAGAAATGGTCGCGTTATCCTAGGCCATATAATGACTTAAGGATTACCAAAATAAATTCAAGGTTACGACAAATTGTTTTTGTACACATAGGGGGAGTTTAAATTTACGAAGTCAAGGCTTTATCAAATGATCTAAATATGAACATATTTTACAAAAATTAATCAGCATTTATAATCAAGGAAAAGATATTTACTGAATATTTATTCTTCTTCAGTTTACATTTTGTTTAAAGGTACAAGTGCACCTACTTTATATCATGTGCCAAAATTTTAAACTCCATCAACAATGTGTGCAAAAATTAGTCATTTATGACAACAAAAACTTACTATTGATATTGATTCTTTTTGGTGTATACAAGATTCAAAATTAACATTGTTTAGTATCATACCTGAAACTTATAACTATTACTATAGCAACCGTAACACTAGTGATAATACACATAAAATTAATCGAATTCTATGAAAAAAGCTGGCGAAGAAGAAATAATGATATAAAAAGTCATATTATTATTATTATTTAAGGTCATTATTATACGATGTGGAATTTCGAATCGAAATTATAAAAAAATTTTTTCGAATAATCAAACTATTATTTAAAAGTTTCGAAAACTAATAGACAATGAAATTTGTCACGCCTTTTTAAAAAACTCTATTTTATGTTAAACTAGAAGCAATTCAGTTCAAAATAAATGAGCTTTCTCATGGTCATTTAGAAAAATACAATAAAATAAGATTGACTGATGATAAATTTATGAAAAAGTAGTTTTCAATTTGAAATAGCAAAATGTGTATATTCTGTCCGATTTAGTTACTTTGTTTTCACGATATACACAAATAAGTTATATAACAAAAAAAAAAAGAAAGAAAGAATTGTATTTCTGACGTTTCGTCACTTCATCTAAGTCACTTCTACTCATTAAGTTATAACAAACATTTATTTTATTATTAACTGTCTACCTAATTTTCAATGTAGTTGCATCTATCATGTTCACACCTTGGTTTTGATACCTAGAAACTAATCTTATTTATTTATGTAATTTTTTGGTACAAATATATTTAAGTACGTATATTAGTAGGAAAATATGATGAAATTATTCGAGTCATAAAAACTTTTTAAAAAAAATTAGGCTAGAATTTCATTAATGCAAATCATTTCAACATTGTTTTTTATTGACAATAAAAGATTTATCAAACAATTATTTCATTTACTTTATTTCGTTGAATATGATTCATTTGAGAAAGAATACTTGACTTGTTTGCGCGTATTTGCTTGCGTCTTACTGGACGTAGGAAAGACGCTGCAAGGAAACCTCTTAGGGGCCTACTTAATGATAGTCAAGCTAAGAGTATATTTTCAGGAACAACTAGGAAAACAGTTAGGCAGACATGTATGTGATGCCCACCCCGAGGCAGCATGGAATGATATCCGAAAAGCTGTGGAAATAGCAGTGATATCTGCTAGTAAGGTAAACCAGAAGGTTAGGGAGCAACACTGGATCTCAGCAGCATCTATCGCACTGATAGATGCTCGGAAACTCATTCCACCTGGCTCTGAACATAGTGAAGAGCGGAGTCAGCTTAAGCGCAAGCTGACAAAAAGTCTACGCAATGATCGCGAACAGTGATGGGTAGCGAAAGCAAGAGAGATGGAGAAGGCAGCGGCAATAGGTAATAGCAGACAATTGTTCAGACTCGTTAAGGAAACCGGAATTAGGAACCCGACTGTGAGGGAAGCACTGCTTACACTCTTGCTACCTCTACCACTACGGGATTTGGATCGACAACTGCATCTCTGTGTTAAGGTGGTGTGGCAACTCGAACTGATGTACGTACGAAGTTCTACGTTGTTACTGACTGACTGACTTGACTTGTTTGATGTTGATATTGAGTTCAGATAATCTCCAACGATTTCACGATAAAAAAAACACGCCAAATTGATGATAAATAGACTTTATTTATTCATCATACATTTTCATAACAATAATTAATCTAAATTAGTCTAAATTGTTTCTATTTCATATCTAATTTAAGTTCATTTGTAATTAGCTGTGGCAAACAAGAGAAACACTTGTAAAATGACCTGGTTAATAATTAGGAATGAAACTTTGTCAAGGGTCATGTTTCATAGCTGAACATGGGGACTGGAAACACATCACTAAACTGACTACTTTCTAAATCTTCTACAAAGTAGAAATCATTAGACTTTGGTTTAATATAAATGAATATATCTATGAAATTTTAAACCAATCAAGGCAATTTATAAGTTAGTGATCACAATGACATAGATGATATTTTAATTGGTCCCTGAAAATTTTATCACAAGTAATTGTACTTGAAATTTGTCCAGTAATAATTTTAACTTTCCTTAAATTATATTTGTTTTCAGTACTCTTCGTTTCTGCTCCATGATTCATCTGATCAGAGGATATTTGGGGATCAGAAAAATTTATATTACAATTTAGAAACAATGAGTATTGATAAACGTTTAGAAGCTATGGAAAAGAAATTGCGCAATCTCTTTGTTGAATCAAATACGTCAGCTTCACCAGATGTTTTGAATAAATATGCAGTAAAAATCGTTACAGAAACTTATCATCCGATTACAACGTTCAATCAACACTGTACAGAGTGTTGTAAAAGTACAAAACAAATATCTTCAAGATGAAATGATTGTTTACACTTAGATCTACATGAATTGAGATCTTGTAGTCATTGTTTAAATCATTCAGCTCGTAGTAATTGTACAGTTCAAACGGTGGATATTCTCAACAAATGTAAAATTTTTATGTCACATTTTAAGGTTTCATACTACTTTAATGCTTTAATTTTTCATCTCATGTAAAATAACGAATTCACATAGATTGTTTTTTTTTAAAATTAATTAACATAGTTTATATGAATAGTGTTTAACTACAATAGATGTTGGTAGGTGGCCTATGCTCCTTTACGAGGGGTAATAGACAGTATCTATCATCTACAATAGGTGATTTAAAGTCACTTAGTTTATTTATCTACCTTGGATCAACTCTTAACCATTAGATAATAATAATAAATCATGATATCAGTTAATGATTGAAATATTTCACAATTACTTATTATGTTTACATCATGTTATATTGAGGTATCTATTTAAAAATGAAATACAATTTTAATTTCTAATTATATATTCCTTAAAATGAAAATTTCTCCTCAATACTCAAGTGATTTCATATAAAGTTAAATCAACAACAACAAAAAACTTGTTTATTCAGAAAAACAATCTAAACTTTAAGTTAATGATAAGTGAGACCAAAACAAAATTTCTTTCAAGCATCCAACACTAAAAAACAAATTGCTGAGAAGTCCCATATTAAGACGAAACGGCCGTTCAGTAATTCCAGGTTTTCCATGGTGGTTTAGCTTCAATTGACTCATGATTTCAACTATTGAAAAAAATTGATTGGTGAAATAGGTATCCATATTATGAGTTAATGGTTTTTTTAATAAACCAGGGCAATTTATATGAAAATTATTCAAAATTTAAATTACCAGTTAAATAAAAATAGGGAGAATCACTAGTATTTAAAAAAATGACATTCATGAGTTAAAAGAACTTTTCGTTTCTATTTTTAATACAAATATAAGTTCTCAGTATGCAGTTGTTGAGATTGTTGAATTTCATTGAAATCGTGAACTGACCAATGTTTAACCATCATTGAAAATCTGGCAGCACTGAATGACCGTTTCATCCTAGTGTGGAACTCCTCAGCAGTACGCATTCATGATTCCATATATGGGACTACAAACCCGAGGACTTTAGAAGGTGTGCTTTAACACCGTTAGATCCCGGGTCAGTAGTCCAGAAGTTGTGTTCGTGAGAGACCGAAGATTATGGGTTCAAGTCCCGCATGCACGATCGTGAGTGCTCACTGTTCAGAAATCGCATACTAAATTTAATCTTTCATTCAGTGCTTCTAGGTATTCAGTGATGGACTAACACTGAACGGCTTATGATTTCAAATAAATATTAATGGTGAAAGAAAATTAATTCTAAACATTTATACGAGTTTACTAAAAACTAATAAGTTTCATGTAAAACATCGTTGCAATAAATTCATCCAAAAGTTGTCTTCTTGTATTCGTCTATGAAATTTGACGTTTGGTTCTCATAAAAAAATATCAAGGAAACAATCTTTCATACTATTGATAATAGTACTACTAGTAAAAATCTAAATCATAGAACTTTTATAATGAAAGGATAGATTTTGTAAGATTTCACAGTACTTACACAAAGCAGATGTGTATATGGAAAGAAAAACAATACAAAACTAAAGAATGAATAGTATAATGTAGAGAACATATTTTAGTTCAGATAAGTACGTTTCACTTGGATTTATTAAGCATACTGAGAAGTAAATTTTAAAATCAATGTTTAAGAACGCAAACTTCGAAAAACATCAGAGTGAATATAACTATTTTCATAAGAAATAATTAAGGTATATGATATAACAAGTGTCATACTCGACTTTTTATTATTTACTAACAATGTACTCATTGAATAGTATCGTTTGGTTTAAAGTGTATACTATAGTTGAAAGTTGGGAAAGATTGATACGACACTATGATATTAATGTTTCATACTTGTTTACAATTATTACCATATGTAGCACGTAATATTAGCGTTTACTTGAAAGCAGGAGCGATCTAAAACAACAACACAACAGTCAGAACCCAGAGTACTGGCACGACAAATATATATTTGAAAATTTGAAAGACGCGGTTCGAGTACACAAAATAGAAAACTTATTACAAAATAATTTTATTCATCGTTCTGTAGGTTCGGCTTATGTAGAACTTGTTTCTCTTCTTCAAGTACATTTACTCTTTGTTGTCGTGCAATAAGAAAAAGAGATTCGCATTAGTAACGTCACATGTAATGATTTTTGCTACTGTTACACATATGCATTTACATAATATATTATTATTATTATATGAAATATATAAATAAACAAACTCATGAGAATTTGATACTAATAATATCTTCATTAAATTTAATATCTAATTACTTTTCATTCTTTATACAGGTCAATATATTGATAAATCAGTTCAAACATTATGTAATGAATCAACAACTATTGTTACATATCCAAATTACTTTAATGAAAAAGGAACAATTACAAATGAAAATCAAATTATTTCAAAATTGAAAATGAATAATCAATTAACTTCATTTATGTAATAATATCCCTTTAAATTTAATTCATTAATTTTTATTTATTTATTTTTTCATAGTTCCCCCCCTAATAATCATTCACATATTAATCAACCAATAGTCGATCGAGATGGTATTTCAAAAGATGATGATGATAATGAATCTGTATCTAAAGTAATTTTTTTATAAAATTTTTATTAATTAAGTGAATATCAATTTTTTTTCTATAATTAGTTTACATCTAGTGAATGCCTTGATATTATTGTAACACCCGATTTTGAGATGGATAAATTGAAACAAACTGATTATTTAAAAGTTCAATTAAATAATAATCAACAAATTGGTTTGGATCAAATGAGACAAACACAAAGTGTAAGTAGAAAATTTTGATATATAAAGTTTATTTGGCAATGCTTTTAATAATTTGAATTAGTCAATATATATATTAAGGAAACTGGGAACCTTCCTACAACTGTAATGAAAGAGAACATAGGTGAGGACAACCAATATTGTATTCAACACAAAATTACAGAGTTACTTGGTAATATAGAAAAACAATATAGTAAATCGTTAATTTGCGAAATATCAAATCAAGCCGGACTGTTGCTGTTACAAACACCACTCCATTGTCTCACATTTCATTGTTCATGCGATTTCTTACAAATTCCATTGTGTTCTCGCTCTTCCTCATCTTCTGCTGACAGACATTACGTTCTTTTAACTCACGTTATATACTACTTATATCAATATAAGTAGCACACACAACACAACCTTATCCATCATTCTAAAGAACCTTTTGCATATTTTTTTAATACGCTCGTTTGAAATTCTAACACCTGTTTTAAATTCACTTTCATTTGTTTAGATATAATTAATTATCTATATGACTAAAATATTTTTAAGTAATAGTGATACATTAAAATGATGATGATGATGATGATGAAATCAGTCATGATAGTTTCTACAATTGATTGATCACTTCTCAATGATCAATGTCATATATGTCCATTATTTTTCACTGTTGCTTAAGTTGTAATGTGGTCATCAGTATATATGTGACTCACCATCGCATGAACTGTGTTAAGATGTACTGTGACAGTCAGAGTTAGTCGACAGTATATTTGTATTTCTTTATTTTATTTACAAATTTAAGTATATCTCTTAAAAACATACTTAGTCATCTGTGTAGAATGTTAGGTAAAACAACTAATTGGAATATGATTAGTTGAGTGTTGGATATAGTGGGACATTATTAAAATGCATGGTCTATAACTTAACTTACACAAAATTGGTGAAGAACTTCACATCTACCTGAATGTACCATTCAAATTTGCTTGAACTACGTGTTTCCCTTCTAGTCTTTTGAAAGACTTAGTTAATTCGTCTCTTATTTTATGAGGTCTCTGATTTTTTTGTTTTCTGTTTTATGAATTCTACTGATTATATTAGTGGTTTTAGCCGGAACCAATGTGATGTGTAAAAGAGCTATATTGATATAAATAACTTATAAAAACAAAAATATGTGCTTGAAAATTTTAATCGATCAGTGCCCGGACATTTGGTTGATTTTCTTTGATATCCAACCAGAAAAAAACTTTAAAACTACAGAAGACTGGAGATTACTTTCCTCCTTCCCAAGGCTAAACTGTGCCGTGATCACCCTGAGACCAAAATCTTATACGATTAATCTCGCCCAAAGTTACAATTAAACACTGCTAACCAGCCTAAATCTATAATGAAACAGCTTCTTATAACTCTTTGTTTACCAATTATTTTCTAGTCCACTGTACAAATTTCTACCAATATTTGGTTAGTCACTATGTTATTCAATATCTTGTTCCGCTGACATGGTATAGTATGATACAGTAATGACAAGAGCTATTTACAAATAAATATTTCACTGTTAAAATGACTCAGTGATGTAATCTATTTGTGTTAAAAATTGAATCACATGTATGTCCAGATGCATACCAAAGGATTTTATTAACCTATAGTATTAGATAGCTTAGTGACAAGGCTTTTATTACCATGATCAATCACATTCACATGGCAGACATTGAAAAAAGAAGTGAATTTATACGTAGCTCCCTCGTCGGCATAACACATCTTAATGATTATAATCTAAACTACCTATTCATACAGTGGTCGCAGTTGATTCTCCATCTATAAACACGATAGATTATCTTATCAGGAGACGACGAAGTGGAATTTTTCATTTTCCACAGAATTATCTAAGGGGTTTACTCTGCCTTTCACTCAATAAATGATGTGGATATTAATCTTTACGACACTCGTCTGCTAATTTGTTTTTTCAATCTGAGTTTTCAAGTTATTTTTATATAAGTCTCGTGCCTACTTCTTTCATACACAAAAGTAGTGAGTGATAGTGTACAGTATTATTTATGAATAGATATTGTAAACGAAGTAGAAACCACCAAATTTCGGCAAAATAGCAATTATAAGTAACTAGAAGTATCATAAATCGACGCATCTTTCGCGTTACTGGAATACTTTAAATAATTAAACTATTGACATGCATTTTGTTTTAGTTCGAATCTGGATTGAACAATGAAGAAAATTATATTGATATGGATAAAATTCCTGCCACTTCAAGATCATATAGACAAAACAAAACTTTTGAACCTAACCTTCATTACGGAACTATGGAACCGAGTATTCACAATTCTCGAAAACAATCTACATTAGAATCGTCTTTCGAAACAATATATGATCAAACAAAATTGTGCTATAAGCTTTAATACGTAAAGTAAGATGTATTTTGATATAACACGATCATGCGGCTACTAGATTTAGAAAACTTGAAACGATAGTAATATTTTTACTAATAAAAATACCTAATCTCTTGATCAAAATTTTTAATTCAGTGGATTTTTACAATATCAACACTTATTTAGTTATTGTAATGGTCAACAAAGAGAAGACATGTGCTACTTCAATTGTAGTTGTCCCCTTTAATATTCTGCCTGACAAAGTCTTCAAAATACTTAACGATCAAAACACTGATGATTTAATGTATACTAGTGTGAAAATAAAAGTCGGAGATAGTATAGTATACTAGTAACAGCGAGCGATTCGAAAGCGGAGGGATGACAAGCAATTATTGAATAACAAGAAAAACAAACAAACCTACATTCGATACGTTAATAATAAACATACTCATGGGGAACCTCGGTATATAATGGTCAGATTATAAGTTTGATCGAGAGACGCAATAAATCTGCACCGTGTTCGACACCCGTATTATAAAATAATTTCAAAAAATCCTAACTGATAACTAAAGTACACTGATCGGCAACAAGAAACTTAGAGTCCTGGGAAATGTGCAGGAGCATAGTGAACACTAGGAAACCTTATACCATATTTTTTTACTAAACCTTAATGTTGTAGATATTTAAATTATTGGCTGCCAGTACCATGTAGAATATTTTACTTAACTAAACATTTATACCATAGTTTCGGAGTAATAGACAAATCTTTCCATTGTTTTCCTTTCATTTTAGGTTTATTGGGAATTTGTAATTTTCACAGCCAATCAAGTATCGACGATTGTTTGAACAGAAATTATCTAAGAAAAATAAAATAAAAGTTATTCTTGAACAATAGTTTTTTTTTAATATTTGACTCTAAATAGTCTATTTCTTGCAAGAAAATGATAAACCCAGCGCTATGCTGATGACTACAAGAATTTTCAGCATTTAGTGATGTACTATTGACATAACTCCGCCTGTAGCTCTTCTGCCGGTCTCAAGCCTGGGTAAAGGAGTAGGATTGGGATGATGTTATCAACCCCATCCCGTAGAAAACAGACTTGCTAAGAAAACGCTAACCAGATTAAACAAATTAAACCATTTAAACTCTGCCCCGGATTTAAAGGGAGAATTATAACGCTTCATAATGAAAGCCGAGATTCTTCGGAAGTCATGCGGCCGATGTCCCTTCTAACAACCAGATCAACAATTTTTATAGGTACATGGAACGTCCGGACAACGTGAGAAACCGGGAGGACCAATCAAATAGCAACGGAAATGTGGAGATACAAATTATCGGTATTCGGAATTAGCGAAACCCAGTGAACCTAAGCTGGACAGAAAGGGTTAGGTACAGGAGAGATGCTGCTGGAATTTGGGCACGAATAGAAAAATGCTCTATATACTCCGGAAGTTGTTCTAATGCTGTGCAAAAAGCACGCAATGCGCTTATAGGATTGGAATCTCACGGATCAAGGATCATCAAAGTATCCTTCAAAACAAAGAGTCAGTCAGCTACAACGTAGGACCAGGCACATATATGCATCGATTTAAGTTGTCATGAGACAACTATATGACACGACGAAGAAACTGTTAGGGAAATACAGAAAACCAGAGAGGCTGGCCCAGGAAAATCACCGAGATTCGAGGACAGAGGGGTGAAACATTTTGAGAAACTCTTGAATAGGTCAGCTCCATTGAGTCCACCGGATATCGAGGCAGCACCTATAGACCTTCTCACAGATGTCACTCCACCAACTACGGAAAAAATAGGGATGGTCATCAGACAAATCAAGAGCGGGAAAGCAACATGATCTGACAACATACCAGCTGAAGCTCTCAAGTCAGACATAGAAGTAACTGCAGGTATGCTTCACGTTCTGTTTGGGAAGATTTGGAGGGAAGTACAAATGCCGATGGACTGGAATTAAGGATAACTCATCAAGACACTAAATAAAGATCCGAGGAAGTGTGAGAACTACAGAGGCATCACACTACCGTTAGTACCAGAAAACGTTTCCGAACCGGATAAAAATTTAGTAGACGCCCAACTTCCAGACCAACAAGCAAGATTCTGTAAGGATCGGTCGTGCACAGACCAAGTCGCGACACTCCGGATCATCGTTGAACAATCAGTTGAGTGGAACTAGTCACTATACATCAACTTTATTGACTATGAGAAGGCGTTTGACGGTGTGGATAGGAGGATTTTATGGAAACTTCTTCGGCATTATGGACCACCTGAGAAGATCGTCAACACCATCCGAAATTCATACGACGGATTACGGTTCAAAGTCGCGCATGGAGGGCAGATGCATTCCAAGTGAGGACTGTAGTCGGACAAGGCTGCTTACTCTCCCCCTTCCTCTTTCTTCTGGTGGTCGACTGGATTATGAAGACCTCGACATTCGAGGGAAAACAGAGAATAAAATGCACAGTTCGGAATCAATTAGAAGATTTGGCCTTCGCAGACAACCTCTCCTTTCTATCCCATACACACGAACAAATGCAGATGGAGGAAGCTAGTGTAGTAGTAATCTCTGCATCAGTAGGCCTCAATATACACAAAGAAAAAAGCAATTTTCTCAAATACAAGGCGGAGAACACCAACCCATTCACACTTGATGGAAAAGCTCCGAGGAGCATCAATAAATATCAGGATCCAATGCAGGCCCGAAAGGCGAGGACTGGCAAAGCAAGGGCCACATCCCTAAAATTGAAGAACAGGTGGAACTCAAAACAACTGTCAACTAATATCAAAGTCACAATCTTCAATACGAACATCAAGACAATCCTACCGTACAGAGCTGAAACTTGGAGAGTCACTACAACCATCATCAAAGAAGTACAGATATTCACAAACAACTGTCTACCCAAGATATTCAATATCCGTTGACCGGATACCATCGGCAACAGCCTTCTGTGAGAGAGGACGAACCAGCCTCCAGATGAAGAGGAAATTAGGAAAGGGTGTTGGAAGTGGATAGGACATACATTGTGGAAATCACCAGACTGCATCATGATGCAAGCCCTAGCTTGGAATCTTGAGGGGAAACGGAAATGAGGAAGGCTGAAGAAACACACTGTTTCGGGAATTAAAAGCAAACATGAAAAGGATTGCTCAGGACAGGGTCCGATGGAGAGTGCTGGTGGTTGTCCTATGCTCCTCCACGATAGGTAACAGGCGTAAGGAAACTATTGACAGATTAAACATAAATATATAAAAAGATCCACCGTTACAACCTTCAGGTGATATAAACAAAGATAACATCTAATTGTGAAACTTTGGGGGTTAATTTGAATGAACATATGCGCAAAATCTGTATTCAACAACTATACAAGTTATAAATAACGAAGAAAACAGGTCCTTAATTATAAGTCATTAAATAGAAAAAAATAGCGAGCATACATGTGTTGTAATTGTGATGTTTCAAAAGAGAGTTAAATAATATACAAATAAGTATGTATGGAAATGATGTTCACTCTGGGATACAGGTACATCTAGCTGACGAAGCCCGAATAGGACGGAACGCGCGTTCTGGATCCAGCTGCTAACCACCATCCATATTTTCAATTTAAATCTTTCATAATACACGTATCAGACCAGTTACAGTCAACTATACGCTATATCAAGTAGTATGAAACCATTGATTTGTGGTATACCATTTTCAGTGAATATCAACTCGTTTATATATTTGTGTCTGAAAACTGACGCATCTTACACTCTACTAAAAATACTAAGCAAAAAACAAACGATTCATTAACAGCTAATAAGGGCGACCTGCTTGAGCATCTGGGCTACCTGTTCCTGCCATCTAGATACTTCAACAATTTATCTGTTCTTGTTTGTTTTAATATATCATTATGTTTATTAATCGCATAGCCTATTCTACTGCGTTTCTGAAAAGTGTACAACCTTTCGTTGTCAATGTTACAAAAAACTCAATAAGAAACAATGTGGTTACTGGCAATATACAACGGAAAGAACGCACATTACTCAGATGTTCATTTACTGAACTGCTAACATCTAACTGGCGATCACTCAATATTTATTGCCAGGACCGACCATGAAGAAAGAAAACAAAACATGTTGAAATACTTTGCGCTGATAATTCTATATTGTACCAAAAATATAATATTGAATAAAGCTGATAATAATAATAATAATATATGTGAATTTATTGAAGACCATGATGATTAATGCAAACACAGATAATTATTGTTTGGTTTATTAAATTAATAAGTTCGATTATTTCAATGAATATAAAAGACTGTTTTCGTCAGAAAAAATTTATTTAAACTATATAAACATCTCATATACAATAAATCAGTAAAAAAGGTTACAGACCACCGGCAAAAAGACTGCCCATAAATTCAGGATTCGAAACAGCTGAGAAGCCAAGACATCCTTCAGGCGGTGTACGACTAGAATGAGCAAGTTTTTCTTTGATTTCATCTTCTGTAAGCTTTTGACGTCGATTCAATCGGACTGGTTTTCTTTCAGTAAATCTAGAACGACGGAAAATTTAACTAAGATTTTCTACTGGATATAAGATACTAAAATAGGATTGGATTAGACAGGAAGAGAACTTGAGCATCATGTGAATATTACCAAGTTTCCGTGTCTTTAATGCACCTAACAATGGAATGTTAGTGTTAATGATCGTTTGCAAAATTATTTTGAAAGCTTAATGGTAAACAGTGTTAATTTGTGATTGTCTACGGCAATAAGAACAGTTCTGGGGGGAATATGAGGTTACATTCCAGATCTATTTATCTGTATCAATATGCTTAACCCCCAAATGAACACTTTTGCTGAGCATTTACAGACAATTTAAGAAGTAAATATTAGGTTAATGATCAGTATATAGAAGTAAAGTACATAGGGCTCAACGTTAAACCATTTGTAGGACTTCATATGTTTAGTTTGGTTTACCAATAATTTAGTGAGGGATTTCAAAAGGTTGGCCGATGGTAATATTTGATTATGAGGTATGAAAAACGAGGTTATGCTCCCAATAAAAAACCAATAATAAGCGTTCCCCGAACTCATTGCAAGTATTACCAATATATTCCTCTGACAATATATAGAACTTTAGTAAGACACTGCGAAGAGTCCAATCCCGATCTACACTTTCGCTTATAAGTAAACATGGCCGGCGAGTCAGGTGTTCAACCCTGAGAAATATTGTACACATTTATGACAGAATTGAACTAAAACACTTCTTGAATAAGTTGTATTTGTGGCATTGGAGCAGCTTCCCCCAATAGCGTGTTTGGTGACATAGGGACCGAGTGGATTGTTAAAACTCACTTTATGAAATGCAGTCACGATGTGGAGGCTAATCATATTATATGTTATCAATCAAGAACTCATAAAAGCACTCTAAACGACTGACAATTTATTTGCTTCAGAAGTAAAATACAGTTAAGAATTAGAACCCATGAGGGACCTATCGTAACTTTCCTTTTATTTAAATTTAAATAGCCGGAATAAATGAACACAAAAGGCTTCGTACTAACCAAACGTTTAGTGATTTACTTAACAACATTTTGGTATTTTTGATGTGTTATTGGATTAACTAACGCTTAGAAATAATAATATGCATTGTTTTCCCTTTGATATCTCTACCCTTAATTACATAAATCATATTGTGTGCCACAGTTAACATTCTTTATAATCAGATGAAACAGCAAATTATTTGAAGTAGGAATTTTTTCTCGGTGTACATAAGTGTAATGTATCTATGAAGAGGAATTTATCATACATAACTTCAGAAATTTGTTAACAAACTATAAAAAAGATGGCAAAAAAGTAAGTATATGTTAAAGAAATACCTTTTCCCTTTAACTTGCTTCATCTTTTTCTCTAGTTTCTTTGCATCCAGAGCTGCAGAAAATTGGCGAGCTTGATGCTTTGCGACCACTATATCACGATCATGAGCTGTACGTCTTTGTTCTTCTTCTTCGCGTTCAGCGCCAAAAAGGTCGTTCCATGAAGTATCTTTCAAAAATCTAATGTTCCACAGTTCACCAAACCACGGATTACGCTAAAAGCGAAAAAAACATAGAACGAGTAAGAGGGTTGGTTAGCTTTTGACTTAGTGCATCTTATGTATACTGTAACCACAGGACACAATAAACACGGTTGTACATAAAGCGAAGTCTTTAGGAAGTAAAGAATAACAAACCAACGACTGACTGTGTAAGAATTATGCCTTCTAAGGAAAATAAAAATGCTTCGAAGTAAATGATTGCATACTATCGATTTCCTAAACTATTCACTTATTTAATTTCATTTGAATCATATATAGATTAGTACAATAATAACCCAAAAATGTTTTAATAAAAGAGGTAAGCTTTTTTATTTGGAAAACAATCGCTGCAAAAGAAGTTACACATATTGTAATCATCATGTAGCAGTCAAAGGAAGGTTGACATGAAGTGTTAGTGTATATGTATATATAGTTAAATTAAAGGAATTGGGATACACCAATTTTGGATAGTAATCCAAGTGGCCTCAACAAAACAGCCCATATATGAATTTCTCACAGCCTCATCAACTGACTTACCATTCCCTAATACCCTGCGTCTAACTTTACTATTACTTAACCGGTGATCCCAGAGGATGCGAGCAATATTTCTAAGACATCTGTGATCAAATACTAGTAACTTACTTGTCCTTTTTTAATTTTTTTTGGATAAAGTCTTTGGTCACAGTTTTAAATTACTACAAAATCTAAAAAATGGGACAAACTGTTTATTATGTGTATCCGAATTCCAAAGACTTGAATTCAAAATATAATATCGGAACGATAAAACATGTGCATATAGTTGGTGAGCAAAGAATAATAATGGTATTTATAACGAACCTTTGATCCAAGAACTTCTGTACAATTAAGCCGCTTGGCAACACGCCTAGCTATTTTGTTGTTCAGAAACTCAACCCAACCTTCTTCATATTGACGGTATTTTCCTACTTTTTTCTTTTTTGGTACCAAGTAAACTCTGCCAATTTTACCAAACTGTTGCATAATGTCCGAAATCATGCTAACGTTCATCCCATTCGGTATAGTTGAGAGATATATAATACCCGGAACATCAGACTCGACTTTGTCGTCGTCTATTCTCGCATCAAAAACCATTAAATTGAACGGTGAGGTGAAATGAGACGATATCCAGGCTTATAAAATTTGAAAAGCATTAGAAAGATAGGCTGAGAAACTGAAACAACAGAACAATGAAACCAAAAAGAACAAGCATACGAGGAAATATACAAAAATAGCGCAAGAAAACATAAACTGTGACGGAGGTCAAACAGTAATCCAACGAGATATGTGGTTACGCACTAAAGAAATAAAAGCCAAATCTTACATTACATCATAAGACTTATAAGTCAATCTATAAGAAATCTTCGAACATGTGGAAACCAGGAAGTGATAACCACCCCCATACATTTGAAATCATCAAAGCACAAATCAATAAGTAAAACGCTTTGAACACTCTTTAAGCTCCAGTAAAATGGTTATACTAACCCTCATACCTGCATTTATCGATGTAGCAACCACAGAATAATAGTGACAAATAAATCCAGGAAATAAATGTCTATATTTATGCGAAATTATATTATTCATCTCAATCATTAACGTCTCTGCTAATATCCATTGAGTTAACTTATACATTGAGTACAACGCATATAACAGTTGGATAAAATTGTCACCTACTTGTGTTGTCCCAAGTTATCTTTAACATTGATTGTCTGGTTTAAATCCCAAACTAGTCTAAATGTTTTTTATCGCCTGCATGAATAAGGTTCTGATATATCGGCAATCAGGGATTTTTCTCTCCCAGTGAACTGGTCTAACACGATAACTAAGTCTGTTGAAAAGACATTGGGGAGAATTCGATTCTCGTAACATGAATTGACAACTCCTACATATTGTGGTCGATTTAAATAAGGACATCTCAGAGATCCCTATAGATGATTTGGCGAAATTCGCTTTCTGGAGTAGGATATGGGATTTTTAAAACGGAACACCATCCAGCCAACAACTTATCGGGTCTTCCATAGCATTGGAGAAGCTGATTCGCTGGAAACACAGGGAGGATAAAACGAATCGAAATCGTAATTCTATTATATTTAGAGAGTTGATATAAGAAGCAATAGACTCTCCATAAATTTACTGTGAAAATTTATTTACGCTTGCGGAATGTGAAGGGTAAAACACGAAGCAAAATGTGGAGTGCAAGTTCAGCAACACCCAAGTTTATAATCACCCATGCTAACATCACTAGAAATTGCAACATAAACGGCTAAATATTTTTAATGTAGGAATATTAAGCTGGAGGGAGACTCAAGCTTCAGGCTAAAAAGAAAATATGTTGACAAACCTACTTATGATACCCAATGATCACATTACAAAAATCTTCGAGTAATTGAGGATCTGTATTGTGTCAGAAGCATGTCATTAGTGAACAGGAATATTGGGCTACGTATACCGTACACTAAATTAAATAGTTCTCGAAGCAAGCGTCGGGACCAATGCAGATATCGTCAACATGAAGTAGTTATTAATGGATACTTAACAACATGAGCGATATAATGCGGCTTACCGAATTTAAACCCCAGCTTATAGGAGTCTACAGAGATGTCGAACCTACACTATCAAGGCTATCACATCCACCATACCATACAGCAGGTTGATAGCCCCATGAACTCAAAATTTTCAGTGCCATGCGCATCTTTCATATCCCTTAAAACTCGGCTAACAATATATTTCAAGCGTCCCACGTAGTGTGGGACTGGTAGTCACAAACATCTCATGTCGTCTTCAAGAAGGGAAAGTCAACGGTTCATCTACACCGATGAAGAAACTGTCATATACATTACGAGGGCATCGGACAAAGACATTCACTAGAGATCACTGTAAATGAATCAGGGGACTAGGAAGAGTCGGGAATAGAGTTGAAAGTTAAGACCTTAATGCACAACGCCCTTGAGCAGTGAAATGACCTTGATCAGTTGCTTATATTTTGCGCTGATGTTTCTTCAATCCGAATCATTCAATGACTGTGCGTGAGGTATAATAAGCTCTTACCTAACGAACTATTGATTGTTTTAACAACTGATCACTAATTTCAACAAAGATATGTACAGTTATAAGTATCAAACGGAAAAGAATGAAGTTGAAGATGCCACTGGTATTTGTAGCTTAACAACACCTTAACCAGTAACAACTTCTAATGTGAATCGTACCCACCAAGTGAAACCAAAAAACAGAAGCAAGGAGGTTCGAAGATAAATTTGATAGGCTATCAATATATCGAGGATCGGCTGGTCTAATCTGGCTAGCGATTGCAAGGGATGTTGAGCACGGGCGTTCCCAACCGTGATCTGATGCGGATGCATGACCAAGCGCCCTCATCTAGTTGAGTCTACTAAAACTAATGTGGTCAGAGCTATTTGGTTTTGGGATTAAGTTACCGCTATATATCACTCCTTCACTCTATAAGGTAATGATGACCATAAGACGTGGCAAGCCAGAATTGTCAACCCAACGAGTTTGCCGTTGATAAACCCTCTCCTGATAGCTTGCTGTGCTTGGCTGCGTCTGGTTGTTTTTCCTTACTGTAAGAGACCATGAAGTACAATATAGTGTAGCGGTAAATAAATCCCCAAACTAAATATCTTTGTAGATTATCCCCAGTCACAGTTAAGCATTTGATAGACCCACTCTATCAACCACTACTCGATAAATAACCTGGGATACAACAAACTCAACCGAAACTACCGTGTCTAACCAGCAATGTTACACATCACATCACGACTACAGGTTCACCTGTATTCTCTAAACCACGACGACTAGCTCCTGAAAAGCTAAGGTTAGCGAAAAACGAATTAAATCACATGATAGACTTAGGAATCATACGACCGTCAAACAGCCTTTATGCATCTCCGTTGCACATGGTCCCTAAAAAGGACAGCAACGATTGGCGTCCAACTGGTGACTATCGGCGATTGAATGCAAAAACCATTCCCGATCGTTACCCGTTGCCTCACATTCACGATTTGACAGCTACCTTGAAAGGTACAACTGTCTTTTCGAAAATCGACTTAGTTAAAGCGATTAACCAAATCCCTATGGCTACTAACGACATACCGAAAACAGCCATCATAACTCATTTCGGACTCTATGAATTTTTGCGAATGCCGTTAGGTCTAAGAAACGCTGCGCAAACTTTCCAAAGATTCATAGACAACGTCTTTCAAGGTATCAACTTCGTACATGCGTATGTTGATGACTGCTTAATCGCAAGTCCGGACAGAGAATCACATCTCAAGCATCTGGATCTTGTTTTCGAACGATTACAAAAACATGACATTACTGTAAACGTTCAGAAATGCCAATTCGGAACCGACTCGTTAGATTCCCTAGGACACACTATCGATACTCAAGGCATTCGACCTCTTAGGACCAAAGTAGCGGCCATTCTGGATTACCCAGAACCGACCAACGTCAAGCAATTAAGCACGTTTAATGGCCTGGTAAGTTTCTATAGACGCTTCATACCGAAATGCGCATTACTTATGAAACCTCTTACTGACCAACTTCGTGCAAATGCGAAATCCATTAATTTGGACGACACCGCACGAAAAGCATTCTCCACAGTTAAGGAACTGATCGCTAAAGCAACAATGCTCGCATATCAGGATATTGAAGCACCCATTAGTATCGCAGTAGACGCATCCGACTCGGCAATCGGAGGAGTCTTACAACAATGGGTTAACAACTCCTGGCAACCCTTGGCATTTTTCTCTAGACGGTTGCTAGACACCGAATCGAGGTACAGCACATTCGGTAGGGAACTCCTAGCTATGTATTGTGCTGTACGGCATTTCCAACACTATATCGAAGGCCGTGAATTCACTCTTTTCACGGACCATAAACCGCTCACTTTCTCGTTAAGCTCTCCTTCTGACAAGTACTCTCCCCGTGAGTCTCGACAACTGGACTACATTTCGCAATTTACTTCAGACATTCAACACATCTCTGGAGCAAACAATGTAGTCGCCGACGCGTTGTCTCGCATAAATTCCTTGAACAGTTTCCAAGGAATCAACCTTCTTAAACTCGCCCAGCTTCAAAAAGAAGACACTGATCTTCAGCACGAGTTATCGTCCACAACCTTTAAACTACGCATCAAACAGATGGGAGCAGGTAAGGAAACCTTACTTTGTGACACATCTACATGTAGGGATCGCCCAATCGTCCCGAAACATTATCGACGCAATGTCTTCAACACATTGCACAAACTTTCTCATCCAGGTGTTCGTGCAACCATCAAGCTTATAGCAGAACGGTTTTGCTGGCCTAGTATGAATAAAGACGTGAGGGAGTGGGCACGCTCCTGTGTAAGCTGCCAAAAATCTAAGGTCATCAGACACAACAAATGTCCCTTAGGCTCATTTAAAACTCCCGATTCTGGTTTCGACCATATTCATCTGGATTTGGTATGACCTTTACCAGATTCAAATGGATACTCTTACCTCTTAACCTGTGTAGATCGTTTCACTCGATGGCCAGAAGCAGTACCTATCAAGGACATCACTGCTGAAACAGTGGCCCGCACCTTCGTCGAACGATGGGTAGCAAACTTCGGTTGCCCTTCAACCGTCACTACAGACCGCGGACGTCAGTTTGAATCTGAACTTTTCCGTCGTCTGACCACACTATTAGGAAGCACTCGCTTCCGAACGACCGCCCACCACCCACAAGCAAACGGGTTGGTAGAACGCTTTCACCGACAACTAAAAGCTTCACTATCAGCTGCAAACGTTTCACAGTGGACCGACGCTCTTCCACTCGTCTTACTAGGTATCCGCAATGCAGTGAAAGCTGACATTGGATACACTGCGGCTCAACTCGTTTATGGAACGACACTTCGACTCCCAGGAGAATTCGTGAATCCTTCATCCACTTCAATGAACATGGATCTAACCTCTTACACGAACAGGCTTGGAAGCGCAATGCGTTCAATTAAACCTGCTTCCACTCGACCTCAATCAACTGATGTTTTCGTGCAACCTGACTTACAATATAGTACACACGTTTTCGTTCGTCGAGGCTCGCATCGACGACCTTTCGAATCAGCATACGAAGGACCTTTCAAAGTTCTTCAACGCGAACCGAAGTACTATATAATCGATAAGAACGGAACCAACGATAGCATCAGCATCGATCGCCTCAAAGCGGCGTATTTAGAATGAAATCCTATCTACGTGGATTTTCCTTCGGTACAATTGAATGACACGACTCCGACACTTATAATGCCTCATCCGACAACCAACACACACGATGATACTTCGATAGTATCTGAAAATAAACTTAAAACGACGCGTACTGGAAGAAGATTGAGATTTCCAGAACATTTAAACGACTGTTGAAGGTAAGGCACTTCTCGACATTGTCTATATTATTTTGAGAAAAATTTTTTTTTAATATGCTTATATATTTTTATTTCTATTTCAAAAAAACCGAAACAAAATAAAACAATTTTTTAACGCTATTACGTGTTCATGAGTTTATTTTCCTTTTTTTAAACACATAAGAGTGCATTTTCGACATCACCTACATTTTCTTTCTTCTTTTCCAGGACGGCTGGAAAAGAACGATGACGTTTATGAGGATCCGAAATTTTCATTGTACATTTCTTTTTTTACTATAATGTACCCCGATCCCATATAGTAAGGAAAGACGACCAGACGCTTCTAAATTTAGTAAGCTATCAGAAGAGTGTTTACTAATGACAAACTCGTTGGGTTTAAACTTCTGGCTGGCCACGTTTTAGGGTCATCACTGCCCCACTAGGGGGGAGGGATCTGTAGCGGTAAGTAAATCCCGAAAATAAATAGCTCTGTAGGTTTTCGACATTGGATGCTGACCATATGTCTTAGTGGACTCATCTAGCTGAAGGCGCTCGGTCATGCATCCGCAACAGATCACGTGTTGTAACGCTGCACTCAACATCAACCGCAATCACTAGCCAGATTAGATCAGAGATTCCAGACATCTTGGTTATCGCCAAATACACTGTTCCGATCTCCTTGACTCTGTCTTTTGATTTCTCTCGGTGGGAACAAAGTATATTAGAAGGTGTTACTGGTAGAAGCGTTGTCAAACAATGAATACCTGTTTCATCCTCAATAGTAAAAAAAGAAATGGTACAATGAAAATTTCCATTCATCCAAATCTTCGTCGTCCTTTTTCGTTTTTTCCAGCTGTCTTGAGAAAGAAAAATAAGTGATGCATGTACATGTCGAAATACACTCGTACGTGCGTAAAAACACAAAGCGGGCGAAATAAAGGAAAATAATCTCATGCACACGTGATGGCGTGAAACATATCTTTACAAAAAGCTTGTTTTTTTAAATAAAAATAAAAATATATAAGTATATTAAAATTAGTATATTAAATTATATCTTCTAGAGTGGAGGAGTGATATATAGCGGTAACTTAATCCCAAAACCAAATAGCTCTGACCACATTAGTTTTAGTAGACTCAACTAGATGAGGGCGCTTGATCATGCATCCGCATCAGATCACGGTTGGGAACGCCCGTGCTCAACATCCCTTGCAATCGCTAGCCAGATTAGACCAGCCGATCCTCGATATATTGATAGCCTATCAAATTTATCTTCGAACCTCCTTGCTTCTGTTTTTTGGTTTCACTTGGTGGGTACGATTCACATTAGAAGTTGTTACTGGTTAAGGTGTTGTTAAGCTACAAATACCAGTGGCATCTTCAACTTCATTCTTTTCCGTTTGATACTTATAACTGTACATATCTTTGTTGAAATTAGTGATCAGTTGTTAAAACAATCAATAGTTCGTTAGGTAAGAGCTTATTATACCTCACGCACAGTCATTGAATGATTCGGATTGAAGAAACATCAGCGCAAAATATAAGCAACTGATCAAGGTCATTTCACTGCTCAAGGGCGTTGTGCATTAAGGTCTTAACTTTCAACTCTATTCCCGACTCTTCCTAGTCCCCTGATTCATTTACAGTGATCTCTAGTGAATGTCTTTGTCCGATGCCCTCGTAATGTATATGACAGTTTCTTCATCGGTGTAGATGAACCGTTGACTTTCCCTTCTTGAAGACGACATGAGATGTTTGTGACTACCAGTCCCACACTACGTGGGACGCTTGAAATATATTGTTAGCCGAGTTTTAAGGGATATGAAAGATGCGCATGGCACTGAAAATTTTGAGTTCATGGGGCTATCAACCTGCTGTATGGTATGGTGGATGTGATAGCCTTGATAGTGTAGGTTCGACATCTCTGTAGACTCCTATAAGCTGGGGTTTAAATTCGGTAAGCCGCATTATATCGCTCATGTTGTTAAGTATCCATTAATAACTACTTCATGTTGACGATATCTGCATTGGTCCCGACGCTTGCTTCGAGAACTATTTAATTTAGTGTACGGTATACGTAGCCCAATATTCCTGTTCACTAATGACATGCTTCTGACACAATACAGATCCTCAATTACTCGAAGATTTTTGTAATGTGATCATTGGGTATCATAAGTAGGTTTGTCAACATATTTTCTTTTTAGCCTGAAGCTTGAGTCTCCCTCCAGCTTAATATTCCTACATTAAAAATATTTAGCCGTTTATGTTGCAATTTCTAGTGATGTTAGCATGGGTGATTATAAACTTGGGTGTTGCTGAACTTGCACTCCACATTTTGCTTCGTGTTTTACCCTTCACATTCCGCAAGCGTAAATAAATTTTCACAGTAAATTTATGGAGAGTCTATTGCTTCTTATATCAACTCTCTAAATATAATAGAATTACGATTTCGATTCGTTTTATCCTCCCTGTGTTTCCAGCGAATCAGCTTCTCCAATGCTATGGAAGACCCGATAAGTTGTTGGCTGGATGGTGTTCCGTTTTAAAAATCCCATATCCTACTCCAGAAAGCGAATTTCGCCAAATCATCTATAGGGATCTCTGAGATGTCCTTATTTAAATCGACCACAATATGTAGGAGTTGTCAATTCATGTTACGAGAATCGAATTCTCCCCAATGTCTTTTCAACAGACTTAGTTATCGTGTTAGACCAGTTCACTGGGAGAGAAAAATCCCTGATTGCCGATATATCAGAACCTTATTCATGCAGGCGATAAAAAACATTTAGACTAGTTTGGGATTTAAACCAGACAATCAATGTTAAAGATAACTTGGGACAACACAAGTAGGTGACAATTTTATCCAACTGTTATATGCGTTGTACTCAATGTATAAGTTAACTCAATGGATATTAGCAGAGACGTTAATGATTGAGATGAATAATATAATTTCGCATAAATATAGACATTTATTTCCTGGATTTATTTGTCACTATTATTCTGTGGTTGCTACATCGATAAATGCAGGTATGAGGGTTAGTATAACCATTTTACTGGAGCTTAAAGAGTGTTCAAAGCGTTTTACTTATTGATTTGTGCTTTGATGATTTCAAATGTATGGGGGTGGTTATCACTTCCTGGTTTCCACATGTTCGAAGATTTCTTATAGATTGACTTATAAGTCTTATGATGTAGGATATCATCAACCTTTCATAACCCCTCTCTCTATTTTTGGGAATGCTACATCTCTGTTATGCTTGTTGTCTGAGAAAATAGGCTTGCTGTTATCACAAATCTATAGTCCGTTGTGCGATTTAGCACTCTGATATTGTGGTCTTTACGGCTCTTCAAGTGACCTGCCTGGCACAGTTGGAACTTGTATAACTGTTGTTCCAACTGTTATAACCTGCCTGTTTGGCAAGCTCGATCGCCACGTCAAGATAGCAGCAACAGTGTTGTTTGGTTATAGACATTTGATGGTTTTTAACGTCATCCACACAAATTTACGACTCCAAGTCAACCATTTCTTTTGACATTTTGAGACATTGCTGTTCTATTTTATTGCTTTGATTAAAGGTTTTGACTTATTTGTGCTCAGTTTTCTCCCAATCGTTTACTTTACGTTCAACATATATCCGACTGACATATGTTAGTGGTTTATTTGAGTTTTGAATTTTGATTGCTTGATTACCAATGAGTGTGCAATAAGAATTTATGTCACTTTCATTTTTAATAAATATGACGACATTTACCGGTTTAACGATAACAGCTTTCAAATGTTCATGCTTGTATGTATTCGAAAACGATGTTCATTTTTACTTATTGTCGTATCCCTGCGCTTATAGAAAGTGTTGCATTTTAAATGAATAAACATGTGATTCTCTTGATTGTGATTGACTCAAGGCTCATCAGTAGCCACTTGAATGTATGCTTCCCACAAAGCACTGATGTGTTTAGATTAAATTCATAAGTAATATCTGTATAGGTTAGGTGCTTTCCGTTGTTCTTACACTGACAATTAATCTTCAGCGAATCTCCTTACCTGAAAATAAGACTTCACGACATACTGATGTCATTATATATTTGCAGGAACCAGTACCTGTTGAATTTTTAATTGTAAATATACACGATTAAATGACACGTCTTCTCTTTGGTATAATTAATCGTCTATATTTCTCAAAGGTTAGTAAATGTGAACTTATTGATTCTGCGGGATTTTTGTGAATTATTTAACGTCCAAAACATTAGTGCCATTGTGGTTACTGATTTAGATACTTAATTCTAAACTAATGGGTAGTATCACAGCTAAAATACACTTTCTTCAGAGATTATTATGTTGGTTTGTAAAATAATTTCATCCACTGTTTTTTTCTGATTTAGGAGTCCTAGGTATAAACGAACCTGAACGTCTTAGTGTTACTTCAGTTCTCTTTTGTATGCAATTATTCAGGTGAGATGATGAATAGCTTCATGTAATCATTAAGTAAAATCCCACGTGTTAACGCAAGTTTCTTTTTTAGAATGTCTACGAAAAAGTCAGACGAAGAGTGGAAATGTGTTTTGAACCCCGAACAGTATCGAGTAGCTCGTCTTAAAGGCACAGAAGCAGTAATTAAAGGATTTTGATTTAACTTTTTATGTAGCCTTTCACCGGTGAATATTACCATAATAAAGAAAAGGGTGAATACCTTTGTGTATGTTGCGGATCAAAACTTTTTGAGTAAGTCGTTTTCATTAAATAGCTATTCAGTGGAAAATTTGATATCAGTTTTGATGGTTTAGTAATGCAATAACTAAAATAGCCGGTAATATTCATACTCTATTAATATACATTATAAAAGACGTAAAAATATTCTTTACATTGAGTTTCATATCTGTTTCAGACTAGATGTTTATTTTATTTATTTATTTTAACACATAGATATTGGTACAAGGAGGCACCAAATATATATGCGGCACACAAATCTCATTTGATATGTGTGAGGGCTGTGATACTACCCGGTTGCCCGAACCGAAGCAGGAGAGACTAGATGTTTACTGTATATATACTGCATATCTGTATCCATTTCCTCTCTCATCTAAAGGAAGTGTTAAGTATCGTACGCATTGATTTTTAATACTTGAATGCATCAGATATCAGGACAGATGCTTTGTTCTGGTGAAGATTCTTTATTTTTGTATCATCGATCGAACTACACATTTCTGTATACGTTGTAATTATGGCTAGAATTTGAAAAGTTACTCTGAAATTCAGATTTTGAAAATCTTGTTCTATTTGTTTTGTGATCCTTCTCAAATATTTCACCATCATAATCCAAGCGTAGTTACGTAAACTCAAAGAAAAGGTTAAGAATTTCCACGGTTATGGGTTGAAATCTATCATGATAGGACCTGTGTTCGTTTTCTTGTTTCTTTTCCTCAACATTTTGACTTTCCCTATGATTCCTTACTTTCTATTGCTTGATTTTATTCGGCATCTTCAAACTTTAGTCTCACTGACTATTATTGTTAGTACCGTTATCTCAACTTCTAAATATTCACCTTGTTAATAGTTTCTATCGCAATGCTGGTGACAGCTGCTTAAAATTGATCCGGTGTATATTTGTGACAGACCTTACTCTGATTAAAAACTGACCGAAACAGTTTACGCAAAGACCTTTTTTAAGAGGAAGAATGTGTTTGTAAAATCTCAGTGAATGAATTTGAAGTAAATCCAACGTTTCACCTGGTAATCTAGTCCAAGCTCTTTCGAGGAAATATAATCAAACATCAAAATTATCGAATATAAATAGGTACATGGTTCTCTGATTAACTGTATATTAAATAGGTCATCCAATCAACGTTAAAAAAGAGCTTGGATTAGATTACTAGGCGAAACGTTGGATTTACTTCAAATTCATTCACTGAGATTTTGCAAATACGTTCTTCCTCTTTAATGTCTGACGTCAACTCGGCGCTCAAATACTGTGAAACTATTCGATCAAATTTAGACGAAATTTCTTATAAGAACTGTTTTACTTTTTATCGCACCGAATATACTGTGCTATAAGTCAGACGTTTCTTGAAAACTAGAATGTGCAGTTGTTCAAACCGACGCAAATAAATTGAGGTTTGAACCTGCTATTTAGTGTTTTGAAGGTTGAACGCCTTAACCACTAAGCCACCAATCAGTAATCTGAAGTATGTTTTACCCTTACGATTTAATGTTTGTGAATTTACTCGTCGTAAATAGTAGTCCATCTGATTGAAGTGATTTAAAAGACGAAAGTTTCATATATAATAGAGGGCTTTAATGCATATGGAGTGTATGTTGGAAATACTTTTGTAAAATTCAATGAAGGCTGAGACTTAGATAGTTTACTTAGGATACTCATCTGTTCAACCTACAAATTACCTCGGATAATACTTAGATACATTTGTCCTGTTCTTGTAAAGCTAGGTACTATTCACTTAAGAACATCCTTAGACACAAGATGGAGCAGATTTTATGGTGAGTTAAAAGCAGTTCAGAGTTATTAAATGTATTTTGTTAACCTTAACTACCTACCTTCGGATTTGTTACTCAATATCATTGCTAAGATTCGACCTAAATACATCTGAGAAGCAATAAAAGCATTACAACGCCATATGTATGTGCAGTTGGCTTCACTGCTATAAAAGTAGTTACCTTTAGATTTTCGTGATTTTATTTGAAGTCATTTTACTTTTTTGTCTTTTATAACTTACAAATTACATGTGATTTCATTCCCTTTAATTTGTTACGTCCAAACATTTACAACCAAAAATTCACGTATTTCGCTGATTTCGGCAGCATTACTATATCCTGCCAACTTTAATCAAATTCTATTCTTATTTATAAGGATTTGCATATACATAGACTGAAATGTTACACCAAAATCTCTCACTATATATTTGTGTCTTTGGTGGATTTTATAGATACGTAAGTTGTCAGTAATAAAGGTCAATTCCTTACAACACTTGTTTCATGTGTGATGTACAAGAACAACAGATTGATGTTGGTTGTAAGTTCATGGTATAACGATTATTTGAAAAATGGCAACTACTGTTGAAATTAATGACACTGTATACATCCTAACACTTCTAACCAATAACACATTTCGACTTAATATTAATGAGCGAAAAGCATTTCATCATAGACATGCATTCTAACAAAAGTTTTCTCACCACTTTGATTGAAGGAGTGATCATTGGTTTTGAATTGTCTTGTTGAATATAAAATAGATCGTTTTTACTAACACTCTGCTATAAAGAGCTTTATGAGTGTAAAACACTATTTCACATGGGATGTTATTTCTGTTCGAACCTAGGATCCAACAGGGTTGATTGTGATGCAGTATGCGTAAAATAGACTTTTTATTTATTGAATATCAGAACACTATGACAATATCACTTGGTTTTGAAACGCCTAAGAAAATCTATAAGATACGATTACTTAGTTGAATCTCATATCACAGTGTCGACTATGATCGCATTATAATTACTCATCGGGTAAGTAATAGTGAGGTTAGATGCAGGGTATTAGGGAATGATGGCAAATCAGTTGATGAGGTTGTGAATCTTCATCGACTGAGATGGTTGGGCTACGTGTTACGTATGCCTGAACATTGATTATCACGACGCACAATGCTGACTAGTGTTGGGGATGGTTGGAAGAAAGTTAGTGGCGACCAGACCAAAACATGGAGTCAGTGCTTGAAGTCACTAACTTCTAGTCTGATCCATGTTGGTAGATGCAAACTACTTGGTTGGGGTCCGCATGACTATCGTAACCAATGGTTGGAGACTCTTGGTGACATGGCTCAGAACCTATCACAATGGCGTAGTTGTATACATTCTCCGTTTTCCCTTAAACCATGAGATTACTTTGTACCTTTCATTCTACGAACTAATTCTTTCTCCCTGTACTATACTTTTATACACAACCTTTCTTTTATATATTACTACTACTTCTATGAATTTGGTGTTCATATTGTTGTGTTAATGAGGTGTGGCAACTTGGACCGATGTATATATATGCCTGGTCCTACGTTGCAGCTAACTGACTGATTCATGAAAGCTTCTAAAATCACCTTCATATAAACAAAGAAATGAAACGTTACATAGTTAAAATATTCGTAACCATTTTCACAAACACACATAATCAGCAAACATTTTCAGAGTTTATTGTAACTCAATTGTAATTTATGCACTTTTGACGCATCACAAATGACTGATAATCATTGCTATTTTTAACCGTTTTAAAAATACAAAATACTACCGAATCAACTCAGTCAGACATAATCCTTATTATTACTTTGGTAAAATGTTTAACAGTAATTAGCAATCTTTATTTTCAATGCCTTGAAGAATAGATAATTCAGCATTTATATCTATCTAATAAATTTTTACATATCAATATATCTAAACTTTCTAAACATCAGTCAATAGATACCATTGCTTTTTGCAGCTCATCTGCAAAGTTCGACAGTGGGTCAGGTTGGCCATCATTTTATCAAGTTTATGGATCAAACGGGCGAGACGATTCCCAAACAAATGTTACTAGAACAGAAGATAATTCACTGGACTCGATGAGAATAGAAATCTCATGTAAACAGGTATGTATGTGTTCACTGAAAAGTGTGATATCTTACTTTGTATTCAGCAGTATTTAATAAATAAATGTAATTTTCATGTTAAGAGAAATGTGTTCTCAGCATTTTCTCTAGTCGTATTGTATATACACTGCAAAAGTTGATCACCTTGGTTGAAAGTAAGGAATTTTCTTAAACTTTTGACTAAGTTTCTTTATGCATTAAAATAACCTAAATGTCTTGTCATCGGATACAGTTATTAAAAAGAACGAATAGAGCGAAGGAATGTTTTCTTTTCAATTAGTTTTCATCATACCTCTTCACTAATTTATATATGTATAGTTTACAACAATGAAGTCATACTCATCGAGTATTTGTATAACGCAGTAATTATATAGTGTAACAATGATTACAAAATAATATTAAGGATTAAAAAGATCAAAGTAGTTATCCAAAAATTTAAACAGTTGCTACATTGCATAGTGAATAAAAGGAATTAACACAATATTTAGATGAAAGGTCAGTATTATAGTAACTCTGTAGATATCAAGAAACATGTTGAGAACGTTAAATTGCAAAAGTAAAAGAAACTTGAAAATTGCTAGAGTGTTCTCAGAAGAGGGGGTTCGATCGAAGTTCAGTTAAAACTTATTCCTATACCGATGGGCAGGATGGCGAGAATGGTTGTACGAACTTCTTTTGGATTCGTATGTTAGGTTTATGAACATGGATTCTGATAGCCCCAGCAATCTGCAAAAGCTGAACTCAATTATGTGGTAAATTTGATAGAATATATTAGATAGCTTTGAATACTTTTTTAAGTTAACTTGACGTCCTATGTTCACCAAATGAGCGTGTATAGAACTCCTTCTTTTCCTTTACCCAACCAAGATGGTTGGTATTCTGCTATGCGATGACGGACTTACCTGACCATGTGCCCTTTATAACTGTTTCGACCAGAGCGGATGAATTGATAAATACACGTGGACGTGGCGAATTCAGGCTGTTTGTTTTTATTGATGATTTTGATTACCGAGCGATTGCAGAAACGGCATTCATTTAGACTGCAGTAAGTGTTTCTGCACCTTATTTCTTAACCTTTGAGTTAACAATTTTCCTGGTAGCATCACTTAAGAATAGTAATGTTAGGAACATTAACTTCTGAACGGTAGTTACTTTCATTCTTCTTTTCCTTTCATTCATGTGTTTGCTGTTGCATTCCGTTGTATATCCATTCCTACTAAGCAGGTTACGAATATTAATCGTTTCATCTACAATTGTGTCATCAAAACAAATTCTAACAATGAGTCGGAATTTTTATTAGGTTTCTTTTATATCTGATTGGTACAGCACTATAGAAATAAGTATATTGCCCAACTGTAAACTTTCTATGTATCCCTCTCTTTAATGTCCTATCTACTCTTGTTAGTCGGACATCCAGAGACGATATGCTATCACTATGTTCCTTCTCAAGTGTAAAAGTAATAAATGGATGAGTGCTATCAAATGTAACAAGTAAATTATTCTTCTCCTGTCTGTTTTTTAAAACTGTAAAAGTATCATCTACATAGTGACAGTAGAATGTTAAATGATTGATTATGTCTTTAAATGATTCATTTTCCATTTTTCCAAGAAAAAATGTTTGCCAAAGGAGTGCGTAATGGCGACCCCATGGCTACACCATCCAATTGCCTATCGTATTCATTGTCGATACAGAAGTGGAAGTTCGTCGTGCATCTAAGAACTAACTATTTTCTTGCAGATACGGGAATTAGGGTTTCTTTGCGTCTCTCTATTAGTTCAATGCATATGAAATAATTTCTTTATGGAACGGTTTAAGAACTGTCACTAACCATTTTGCTCTTATATGATAGGCTGAGTTATTCATATCGAAACGAGTTGAAGAGGCAAACCACTTTTATGTATTTTTTGTCAGACCTTATAGCCTTAGTGTTATAGTTCCTGTAGGTCTCAACATTCTGAACACTTTTTCTAAAATAAAACCTTGTTGTTTAATCGGTTCAAATGAGTCTATTACTTGCTTTTCAATACTGTCTGTCACGTTATTCTCATGTGGGAAATTTACAATACGAATAGATTGTTATAATTTTCAGACAGAAGATACAGTTGGGGTTGTACTTTTATTGGGTGAGTTTCTTAGATTACAGTGAATTACAGGCTGACATAAGATTTATCAGAGGTTCAGTAATTGAGTGGGAAAAGAACCACAACGCTTCAAACGACAGTCTAGTCCGATCTTGAAGGAAATAAACAAATATCAGGATGATCGACTACAAATAAGGTCGCAGAATATCTATGTACTAAACGATTGACTAGTCTTGTTTAAATGTTCAGTACGAGTTTTCAAGGTGTAGACATAAGTCATTCCATTTGAAATGTAGTTTGTTAAGAAATGTAAGAATATGTATACAGAGCTTACAAGAAAACTGTTGGTTATATGTTCCTTCAGATGATGGTGGAGAATGAATTAAACAGTTTGTTTGATAACCACGAACTAAACTTTTCACAGCATACATGGTTTGAGAATAAATGGATGTTTGTGTTCCTGTCCTCAAGAGGCTCGTTTCAAACATAATGACTGACAAGGAAATTGAATGTATATCGTTGTCTACAATACATGAAATAAAAAAGGATATTTAGCTGCTGTAGTGCAGCTAATTTTACTCCGCCTTGTTTACTTAGATTGCGCGGGTTTACCTAAATATGAAACCTCTACTGAACAACTTAACATGACTGAACAATTGTTTGGTGGTGGTACACAGTTATTTTTTTGACTATACTTATTTTCTATAATTCTGATTGTTTCCCTGAAGAAGCTCGAACTATACTTCTTAATGAAGCGTTCAATTTATTCTTAATTTCGATTGCTGAGAATTTTACAAGTATAATTCCATTTGTGGTGTCTTTCATACGTTCAGCAACCAACTACTGTAGAACCAATCGTTCGAATTTGGACGGAATTTCGTACAGAAAAAATTACGATGACTTGTTTAGTATTGTGAGAAGTGTTGAGCGTTGTGAACAATCAGGGAAAAGTTGGTGAATAACTGTTGATAAGAATATGTTTCTCGGAGAAAAAATGGATATTTCTATGCAGATCCGTCACTTCAAGTTGTTCAATTCTATTAGATTTTGTGTCCTCACTTGTTGACTTCTAGAGTTTGAAGGTTCTTTCGACTGCAGTACTTTTCACAAATTACCTGAATGGTTACTGTCGTCGTGATTTTGCCTATTTTACTGTAATCCTCCTAAGCTAAATTATAATGAAGTCATGCAATTACTTCTTTAAAATCATAGTATTCACATGAATGTAATTTTTATAAAACGGTTTCGGAGAATTTTATTTTCTGTTAGACTTTCTGTAGCGATATACTTAAATAATCAACCTTTTGCCACGATATCATATTTAATCGAATTAGTCTAGTTCTAAAAAGTATTCACATTTTTAAACATTTTTTTTATTTTTTCCAATAGTGTGGCGCTCATCTAGGCCATGTGTTCGAAGATGGACCTAAACCAACCGGTTTACGTTATTGTGTAAACAGTGCATCTTTGTCATTTAAAAAATCAGAATAATTGATTGAAAGAATATTAATAAAATTATTTGGCTGACAAGAATGCATCAGGTCTTAATATGAATTGGCTAACTTTTCTTTTTATCCAATGTTTGTATCGATCAGGTATCGGCTAATAAACTCATATGCCTTCTTACAACCATGCTTTTATTACTTTACCCGTTATATTCAGTTGATGGTAGTAAGCGAGCTGAATGCGCGAGAAAATTTACGAAGTTTTAGCTAGAACCTGTGATCACTGGAGCTCAACCGTGTGGAGCGTGGGGCAGTTAGCCAATAAAGGCGATGAAAGGTGATTGGGTAGTACCACGAATTCATTGAAGCTAAACATGTACACCATTAGCTTTTGCCAACTAGCGTCACTTGTGGCGCAGGCGAGATATCCGCCTGTCAAATAAAGGACGATTTTACTGTGCAGCAGTTCGCTCCGTTCTACTTTAAGGGTGTGAAATGTGGCCACTAAGAATAGAGGATATTCGTGGGTTGCCAATATTCGTTCAAAGATGTCTTCGAAGTATTGCCCGTGCATTTTGGGACCACGGAGTAAGCAATGCCTGGGTTATGAATATGGTATCAGGTAAGGGTGGCAAATCAACTGATTGGGTAGTAAATTTTCATCAACTAAGGTGGTTGGGGATGTGTTACGTATGCCTATTTACCGCCTACATCGACAGGCGATGTTATTTGGTGTAAGAGTATGCTGGACGACAGCTAGCGGCGGCCAAATTAAGACATAAAACCAGTCCATTAAGTCACTAACAGTTGAATCGATCCTTGTATGTAGGTTCAGATTATCCGTTTACGGTCGTGCGGTTTTCATAACCAATGGTCAGAAACTTAGAATGACACGGTTTGAAATCGTTTGCGATAGCGCAGGGGCATCCTTTATTCGTCTTCACCCAAATTCTGAGCTCATGAGTCCCTTATAATTCCATCTGTGTTTTTATTTCACTAATTTATATTTTATTTCCGAGTCTTAATTTCGATGCCGAATCTTTCCTGTTACCAGTGATACTGTCAATACATCTACTATTTTGTGATTTGGCCTGACAATGTCATCTCTTCGTGCTAATAGGGTATGGCAACTTCAACCGATGTCCTAGGTTCTACGTTGTGACTGGATGCCACCTTAGTGGTTTGAAGGTTAAGCTTTTACCTCGAGAACTGAAGTTGCTTGGTTCAATCCCTGATGGAGGCTTGATGCACACTGTTGAGGATTCTCATACTAGGACGAGACAGCTATCCAGTGCTTTCTAGTTTCCGGCGGGTTTTTTTTTCAACTTATTTTGGTTCGCAATCTCAATAACATTGTATAAAAACGGATGATATATTATGTAAGTCAATTTCGGAACACGTTGAAAAACAAAACGAATAACAAGCATTATTTAGGATATATTTTTATGACATGTGATGTACATTGTTTAGTTTAGTTATTTCTAATGGACATCCTTATAACGTATAATGAATAATATAAAGTTATTTCACTGATAATATATATTTGAATTCATCTCAATGCTTTTGTCTATTATCATTAATCAAAGAAATTAGTCATTAAAAGTTTTTGTCTTTTTGAAATTGAACCAATTGTTTATGTGTATCAGGTGGTATATCTTTTAATAATTTCTCAGCTAAACGTTCACGTAATGATGGAATGCTAACCTTGAATAAAATGAAACATGGAAATTATTATTATTCGAAAATTACTTTTTTTTTTTCATCTTTTGAATTAAAATGAATGAAGTTCACTGACTAAAAAAGTAAACTCCATCAATATGATAAATGTACAACAATGCAATGGAGAAGATATTTTTGCTGTTGTTCAGTTCTCTGGGCTAGATGATTTAATTGTATAGTTTTCAATCTTGATCTAACCAACATCATCAGTGCTTAATCTATGCAGAAGTGGAGTTTTTAGTTATTTTGTAAGCCTTAAAACCTGACAATGAAATCTCTACGATTAAACCATCTAGATGAGAAAACATAACTTTATCATAAAATGTTATATTATCATGAAAAAATGCAACGATTTCTAATTATTAAACATCGAAAAAGTATAGTTCTTAAAATGAGCATCATATTTACTTGGGATTTACTAAGTAGTCATAAATAAATATCAATATTTTCAAAGAATTGAAAAAGAAAAAGAAATGTTAATCCCAGTTCCCTGTTAATCTTTATCAAACTAAACAAATATCTATTGGGAAAATTAACATGAATTAAAAATAAAAACAACATCCAATTGGTCTTTACTTAATTACAGATTTAATATATTAAAAAAAACATTTATTTTTACCAAATGTAATAGTTAAGAATAATAGATTCATATCAGAAGGGTTTTTGTGGATATTATAGTAATTTCAATGGTTGTGATCATGAGTTAATTGAAGCTAGACCATGGAAAACCTGGAACACGGCCGTTCAGTGCTTCCAGGTTTTCCATGGTGGTCTAGCTTCAATTGACGCATGATATCAACCATTGAAATAATAGATTCTATAATAAATAGTTCCTATTACTTAACTAGTTATTCTGTTCATATATATAGAAAAACTCAGATTAAGTAATTCTCTAATCTAATGTTTTAATTTGTAACCAAAGACTTAAAGAATTTTTTACTAAATACTACTCCAACACTGAGTTATAACTACTTAGAGTCAGTTATAATTAACATAAAGCTTGACAAAAATGTACTAACAATTATTTAATAATTGAATTCATGAGTCGATTAAAGCTAGACAACTATGGAAAACTTGGAAGCACCATAAGGTCGTTTCGTCCCAGTATGGGATTCATCAGTGCACACCCACGATCCCGTCCACGGGATTCAAACCCAGGGCCTATCGGTCTCACACACGAACACTTAACCTCTAGACCACTGAGCCGGCATCAAACGGTGTCAATGTCTAACTTCAACCGATAATAATAATAATAATTTGTAGTAGACTTAATTTACCCTTAAGTTATAATTTAATTCAAACTTATTTAGAAATAAATTACTTATTTCTTATGGGTGAATCATAAAGAATAGAAATTTCGTTTAAAATTCTGCATATTTATTGCTCAGTTATGAATAGTGGCTTAATTGTGTTGTTATTTCATAATTAATTTAATAAAAGATAACTTAATGAAATAGTCCTTTTTTCTACTATTGAAATAGAGGACAAATTAAAAAACAATAATCGTAAAAATGGACGTAAATAACGTGGTGATATCCACATTAATTAATTTCTGAAGTGAATAATAATAAACAATTCTGAATAGAACAAAAGATATACTACTGAAATTCAATGCTTTGTTAAGTTCATTTCGAAATGATTAAAGAATATGCTTTATCAGAATGAAAAAGTTCATATTGGATTATACTAAAAGTATAAATCTATTTATATTTGGTTCGCATCCATTCTGTTATGTAATTCGTCAACAATATAGACTTATTAAACACTGTTACAATTCAGTTAGACATCCATGAACTTCACAATTGGAAGTGGTTATCTGTGAAGTTGAGTTTCAATACTAATATCAACTAATAAGTAACTTAATTCTAACAAAATCTTAATAAAACAACCAAAACGTTTCCTGGCGCCATATAGTTGTAGTAATTAAGGGGAATTAATTACTAATGTCTATCAAATAGTGGTTGATTAGTCAATTAAGCGCATAGGTGAACTTGGGGAATTTTTAGATCTATAATCATGCTGTTTATTAATGTAGTTTTCTACGTTATTTGTCTACTAATTTTAATGATTGGTGACATGTGGACTGTTATCATCTATTGATGAAAATTATCTATATGCATATAGCAAAAGTTTACAATCCAATTATTATTATGATAAAAAAACGTAATTTGTACTCTCTTATTTTTATTACATTTACCTCTGGGAAGCTGTTTGAATTGGTAAAAATACGTTTATGAGTATTCATTAAAAGGTATACGCAAATATTGTATTTGTTTCCCTATTGGTATATTAGAAAATAATCGTAGTTAGTAACCTCACAAATAATCAATAACTCACTGTAACCGGTCTTGTCTTTTGAACCTGATTACCTTGAACTTTTGTTCGGATCCCAGTTGACTGTCCTTTGTCTGTTCGACCTAACAGATTAGCTGATGAGGGTTTTTGTTTTATTTCTATTAGAATGAAAAAGTAACATATATTGATTTTTATAAAGAATAACAATTATGAAGCCTTCTGTATTCTATTAATTATGCAATTTCCTATTACTTAATCTAGAGAATGAACAATTCAAATAATAATACAGCAAAACATCTTATCACTAGTCTTTTTGTACGTCCTATGTCTTAAATTTGAATGTTAGATTAAGGTTTAGTGTAATACATTTGAAAAACTCAACATCAAATTTTTTCGATAGTGTACCTTGATAGCTCACGCGAACTTATTATTTGTATTAGTAGCTTGAATAAATATAAAACCAGTTTTAGATCTTTTCTTTTACCAATATTCATGCAAGTTTATCGGTTTTTTGTTGCAATCACCTTTTTTTACACTGACAACTATATTATGGTAGCCAATTATAGTTATAGATGTTATTTAACTAGTTCGGTTTAAATTATTATATATCATTAGATGATTGACTGAAAACATAACCCACTTTTTAAAGTAATGCTGTTTTATACAATACATCATACTATTTTAAGAGTCGAACTTAGCCCGAACCACCATTAGAAACCTGGAAGCATTGGATGGCCGTATCATCCTAGTATGGGACTGAGCAGCGTTCATCCACGATCCCACACGATAAAATCGAAAACAGGACCTTTGGTCTCTCTCGAGAACGCCTAATCTATAGACCATTGAGCGGAATCCAACCATGTTAATGTCTAGCCTCAATCAATCCACGATCTTGCTCAACCCTTCTTCCCTTGTCTCAGGCAGACAAATGTCTCCACCGCACACGGATTGTACTCCACTAGTCATGCCTTTTCACTAGAAGTCCAGGAAATCCATCTTGAAGATAGTCAGCAGTAAGCACATCATGACGCCTCAGTGGTCTAGATGTCAAGCGTCCGTGCGCAAGACTGGAGGTCCTGGGCTCGAGTCTCTCATGTGGGATCGTGGATGTATATTGCTGAAGAGTCCCATACTAGAACCAAATGGTCATCCAGTGCTTCCAGGGTT